CGAGTCCGAAGTCAAAGTCGACCGAAATTAGGCTGCGGAAAGAAAGAGGGCCCGCCGTAGCAGTTGCTGGAAGCGCTGCTAAAAGCGGCTCCATCTCCCATTTCCCCGAATAGGCTGCTCCTCATTGGGCCTCCGCCAGCAGCCTTCCGCCATGTACTGCCCCATCCCGTTCCGCCATGTACTGTACTTGCCTTTATCCGCCTCCGCCTTCGACTCGACAATGATCTCCACGTTTCCTTCACTTGACTCGAAGTCAAGTACGGTATCCGATCACTGCGCCGAAGGAGAACATGCGCGCCTGCTCTTCTTGTCGAGCCCTTGCTGTAGTAACAGTTATAAGAACAAGTGTTCACATTTGTCTTCACGCGGCGCTACTGTGGTGGCTCCTTGTGAACCAAAGTCGAGTAGAAGCCTATCCCATATTAAATACGGCTTACTTCATATGAGATAGGCAAGGTATAATAATGTGGAGCCGTAATCTTTTTTTTAGGAGAGCGGTTGTTGTTTTATGAAAAATACTGAAGAGAGATTGGATTCTTCTCTTTTTTCTTCCATATACAGGAGGACCTGATATGGTTGTAGTTTGTGGTGCGAACCCAAGTTGTAATAAGCCGGAGCTAAATTCTAGCTATGTTATAATCTAGTGTAATTTCGTGTAGGATATACAATGGCAAAGATTTATTGGAAAAGGGGTTTAGGGTGGCGGCGGGGTGACCGAGTAAACACAGAGAGTGATGATGGCCATCTCGTGCAATTTTATTGCTTTTTGCTAAAAGCAATAAATAATAATAATACGTCTATTCTGAAACGTCCGTGTGTCATTGGTGTACTGTACATCGTATGTAAGCGGTGGCCGGTGGCTGCGGTGCCGTAACCACTTCAAATACTGGACTGCGGTTAGCTTCCAGTGGTTATCGGGGCAATCCATTTGGAAAGGGTGAAGGACAAAGTGATCACGGTTAGCGATGAATGGCCACCTCGTGCAAATTGTTTAATTATTTTATGGAACTAAAAGCAATCGAATGTAAATTGTTTCCATATGGACGGCCCGTGTGTCACCGGTGCACTGTACATCGTATATATGTGGACGCCGTTGGCTGGTTTGCTGCAACTACTTCACAACTGGACTGTGGTTAGCTTCCAGTTGTGATCGAGGGAATCTATTGGGAAAGGGTGAGTGCCGATGACTGCCTCCGTCCGTCCATCCTCCGTTGTCTCATGTTAGAGATGTGAGGTGCAGTCTCAGACTGAGATTTGAAGATCTGAGACTCTCAGATCTTCAAATTATACGAATTGGGATTTCAGTCCAGTGCCAGATGTCCAGTTTCACAATTAAATTAAACTTCACACACAAGTGCCTGACCTGACCGGGATCTAATAATATAATAATGCTTGACGATAGATCTAAATCATTTCCGATAGTGTATCTATCATATAGAGGTGGAGAATAACTGAGGAATTTTATGAACATTATATTTATTTTAATAATGAACTTCTTCTCTACGTTTGTGAACACTTAAAAGAAAAAAAACGTAGCATCATTAAGTAATGATGCTACGCTTTTTTTCAGCGTATCGTGGGTGTCTTCCAGATAGAATTTTATCCGAACGATACCTCTTGATATTTAAGCTGTTGTCGATAGCTGCTAGTCTACAATCAGATCCTCTGTTTCATCCTTGTCATCTTGATTAAATTCCAAGTGGTGTGCATTCATATAGATCATCATTCAACGTTTGTATCTCATGGCTGTATGTCTCAGCTAGTAAACCCTTCGCAAGCTTCCGCCCTCTTATTTCGACATTCTTCACTGAACCATTACAGTACAAATCAGTAGATGTTCCAATCTCTAACTCTCTCTTGGAAGCATGAGCATGTTTTCACAACATTTTTTGCAATTATCCATAATACATAATTAACATTGTATCAGTTTTTAATTCAATAAAGATATCAAAAATTAGCTATAAAATTTTAGTTATATTTACACACACGTGTTCAATATTCTTTTCAAGAATAATTGTAATATTGAAGAATCAGATATGTAAATGTTGACAATACATAATATCTTCTCATTTTTTTGGCTATTGTATAAAAAAAGCAGAAAAGAAAGGATATAAAGATTCAGCTTTTCACAAAACTTAACCTTTGCATCTTTTCTTCATGGTATAATATTTTTCAAATCAATAAATACACTGCTCATTGGAAAAATTTCATTTTTCACAAAATATCTATTATCATAGAATATTTTTTAAAGTATCACTTCTTGATCACTTATATGCTTACAGAAAGCTTTCTACAGTGATATAAATTATGCTGAACCTACCAAAGGGAAGACAACAAAAAAATAATTTGGATTACTTTTTGGCTATATATATAATAATTATCTTACTGAATATTAGTCATAATATTTAGCAAGATAATAATTTTTTTTAAATGTTTTAGCTTTATTTTTTAAATGTAAGTTATATTACATTTGAAGTATAACTATTAATCTATGTAAAAAACGTATTTTGTTAAAAAAGAAGATAATTTTATGCAATGAGTGATATAATAAGCATTTATAGATGAAAATTTTAAATACCAGTGATTAATCTTAATAAATTAAAAAACCCGGAAAAATATTAAGAATTTATTTTAAATGAAATATGAGATGTTGATTATGCAATAAATAATAAATTTTATTAGGTTTTATCTATTAGTACATTTTTGTGATGATATAATTTGGAAATAAAATTTGAAATAATAATAAAATTTGATATTCTTCATTTTTTTTCAAATCATACTATAAAATTTGAAACATTGATATTTTTTCTACATTTAATTTTTTTTAAAAATAGCTACAAAAGTTGCAATAACAAAACCTATAACGTTATACTTCAGAAAAGTGATCATCATTCTTAACGAACAAAACTTCGATTGGATTATTGGATGGATCATATGAAGGATTGATGATACATAATCTCAGGAATAAAACAAGTGTCAGAGTTCGATATTTGATAAAAGGAGATTTGATACATCTGATTATGACTAAAACTATTCAGATGAACTACTGAGAATAAGCTGCATATCGAATATATCTTGGACGTCAAACTGTTTTATTAAAATTGACGGATGAGGTTTTGCAAGCTATATGGTTGAAAACCAACAGACATACCTAGTAGTTGCATGTGATGAATCTATAAGATACAGGACTTTTAACATTCGTGACATTTGAAAAACGTAATGCACTGAATTATGGTTCAGGAAAAATTGAAAGAGTATGACTAGCATCAAGATCAATTGCATTATATTGAAATCATTATACAAGGTTTGGCCAACATGACACATATCAGTTTCATTATAAGAATGTGGAAAGGAACAAAGTCATTACCTGTCATCTCAACAATTTCGTGCTATTTAATGAAGAGGAAGGATGTTGAAATATAAATGTGATCTTACATAATGTTTTTGAGAAGTGAAGAAGCAAAGACATCTCGTTGATATGAAAAGCTTTTTACATTGTGAGATTGAAGTCAATCAGGGAATGAATGGACCATATATAAACCCAAGGAGTATTATGAAAAGTAAGTAGTTCAGCTGACAATATTTTCCAATTCTACATGAGTCGAAGGTTTAAGATTTTTTACAACCTAAATGGTTATAAAATTGTCAAATCTCCATGTAACTCATCCTTTTGAAAGTGCATTCGTCATGACCCTATCTCTTCATCGAATTCAATGTGATTTTCGTCCGAGGATGGTATGTAAATATATAATATTGTGACTTCTAGGGCATAGTCCCATCCCATTCCTTTGATGTTAGCCGTGTACTGCTTAATGGGGTATTCCTATCGTTTCCGCTATATTACTCGGTACCCAACTGAAGTTCGAAATGCTTGCCCATGCATTCTTCCTACAATCTGTTTTGGTTGTTTCTTTACAGTTGATCTTGGAAATGAGCTGGGCCCTTCTCAGCTTGTTCTTCTCCAGTAAGTCTGCAATGCAGGCACGCAGCACATTCTCTCATAGCTGGGAGGCCAACTGGGCTCCTCTGAGTAATCTCGAGCGAAAGACCCCGGTTTCAGAGTGTTTGAGGAGTCACCTCATCGAAACCGTAGGGCTGTCGCCCTACGGTTACGTGCACACTTAATAGGTATAGCTCATTTCGAGCACATTCGATCAAGGATAAAAAACCCTCATCGTGTACTGTAGCTCGTTGAGAGATCTTCTTGGCAGCTGGTTTCTAAGGGGTCAGGGTTTAGGGTGGACATATTCAGCAGACGTATGTACCCAAACGATAAACAGCCATGTTGGTGCAATTTGTCAGCCTGGTGTGTTCTCTTGGCGCGTTGCTTTACAGTCACATTCCATTATGAACTTACCGTCGAAGTCCAATGGTTCGACATTCTAGATTAAGGATATCAAGAGGGTTGAATCACTGCAGTCTGTCTAAATAAGCCCACTCTAGAATGGGAGTATCTCATTCACTAGTAGGGGATATTGTGACTGCTTGGTGAAGGATGAGCAGTTTTGAGGGGCTAAACTTTTAAAACAATCGTGCCAAAAGACACTTGTGTCGGAGTGACAACAACGACGCTGTAAAGTTCCGGGTATAGAGGACTTCCAGGTTGATGGGACTAGTATGAATATACTAGTCCCATCAACATGATGGAGAGTGTGTCCCAGTCAATACATGTTAACTAGAACACATGCCGAGTCAAATTGTGGTGAACACAATCAGCTCTCAAAAAGTAGATGACTGTAGATCCAAACCCCCAAGAACTCTGGAGATTTTATCGCCGACCATTTTAGCAACAATTTAGCTAGTACACGGCTTATTGGGCATGATTTAAAAACTGCCAGAAAAGCAAGGCTCTTCACGTGTGTATTAGAGGAAAAATACATCAAAAAATATAGGTGGAACCTAGAGCTGGACAAGGCTCATGAGTGAGAAGGTGACGCCCATGTACACATGAAAGCTCAAGGGAAGTGCAACCAATGGGTTTCCCATAACTACATGAGCGTGGAGCAAAGTTGGCCTGGGCTGTTTTTGGAAAAAATCACATTTATCTGAAGAGCTCCATGATCAGAAGCATTGTGTAAACTGCAAGTGGTCAAGTTGGTTGTCATCGGAGGTCACACCTCAAGATATGTGGCTACTAACCACGTTTAGCATTAAAAAAGCAGTGCTACCATTCGCCAGGGAGTGAATCGACCCGACTTGCACTCACCTTAACAAGTTGATGACATTAACAGCAATTACAAAATGGTGACTTATTACCTCTTGCCAGATGATAACTAATCTCTGGGGAATCAATCTATTTTACACGCTACCGTAATTAACGTACTTTTCCAACCCTCAAATTAGGATGCAAATTTATCAAGGATACCCAACAAGGGCAGAAAGTCCGGTAAACGCCTAACTTCCGAGCTCCTGCCAGACAACCTCAACGGCATCTGCGAATACAACGTTGTGTTGGTCTATCAAACATTGTACAGCTTCCACAATCGCAAAATCAACTGACAGAGGTTCATCGTCATCGAGTGGAATCTGTGCTGATAAATCTCCATTTCGATCATCGCCTGCATGTCCATTCAGCATCCCATCTTCTGATCCTGGATAAACAAAAAGTCCAAGAAGGGAAGTTAACTCCAGCTTAAATAAGAAAACTGAACCGCAAACCTGTAAATTTGGTAGACTGAGATTTCGGCTTGGGATATCACTAGGAATGTTCAAACCTTGAAGTTGATGCCAATCAGCACCTGAACCAGCATTGTCCACATCCACCATAACAGAAACGTGTCGTGTCAGGTTTTGCGGAGACTTGACACCATCCTCTGACAAAGCTGCAGCCTCTTCTCGTGGCCGTTCAATAACAGGTGTGAGTCGAGACGTCCTGAAACTACCTGCTGCCATAGGCCTCGTCTTACCAGAGAGAGATGATTTCATTTTCCCCCTTTGCCAAAGCAGTGCTGGGGCGAGTTCGAAGGCAAGACTGTGGGAGTCCATCTGTAGCAATAAGGCCATCCCATATTAGCATCTAGAGATCCAAAAGCAACGAAAAAATTAGTGGAAACCTACATTTGGTTAAGATTTAGACTACGAATCTAGCTCACGTGAATGAAGAAAATGAGTTCAAGAGGTTGTTAAGAATAGAAATTAACCTTATTCACGGTGGACTTCTGGCTGATGCGGAGCAGCAGTGCAGTGAGACATTCCAGTGTGAAATAGTTGGCAGGGGGAAGAGCGGACACCAACTGACGTAATCTGACTACATTCCCACGAGCGCTAACGAAGGCATCATAATTCTCAAACATGAGAATAGGCTCCGGCAGCATGTGCAAGAACACCTTCAATAAAGCCGCCACATCGATTGGGCTAGCCCCTTGCAATGCTGCAGTGGGGTCTGCACAACGTACGTTTAAGCTACATTCAAAAAACTTGACAAGAATCAAGACAAGCTGCGAACTGCACAGGGTCTACCGTAACAAAGTAAGGAGGGCATAAACTCAAGTTTCCAGTGTCTACATGCGACTGTATATCCTAGAGTATGTTGCCATTATCTTAAAGCTTGTGATTAGTCTAAACACTTGTGTCCAGCAAGTCGTTGATGATACATGCAAATAAAACTCCGTCAAAGGTATGAAGGAAAAAAAGTTGACCTTCATTAAGAGATGCGATGAGCCGGTCGACCACTCTGTGATTTCCATCCTTTTTGAATATGTATTCGGCATTCAGTCCTGCAAGTACACCAAAAACCTTGAACCTCTCTGGAAAACATCAAACAAATGCGAGAAAATCTTGTGGAACTGGCTGCAGATACCACACAGCTCAGTTTTCCAATCAAAACAACGCGTGTCTTACCTGACAAGACTAGAAAATCAACACACTTGATCACAATAGAAGGAATGGGCCTCGTGCTTTTCTGCCTTTGCACAAGAATCTCCAGGGACACTCCAAAGACTGTAACAAAGAATACAAGCAAATGGATCAATTCAAAAGTCAGTGATATAGATAAAAGTTCGTGTTCCTGGAACATTCTTGCAAAAAAGTTACGAAGCTTAGTAGGGACAAAAATGCCGAGGTTTAGTGTCCCGGATATTTAGGTTGAGAGCTATCTCTTGACCTGAATAACATTCAAGTGTTGAGCTTAACGTGGGTACAAGATAAGTGGGTACAGAATCTCCACTACAAATGCAGTTTCCAACAGTTTGAACTACCTCAAAGAAAACTAAAATAGTTGAAACAGTCAATTTTTCGTTGTGCAAATGTAAGTGACCATATCCGGGTTAGTGCGGAAACCCCTATCAAAAAAATTCACAGCCGTTTGTTGAAATATTAATCTGGAAGTTCACTTGCTACAGATGTGACCAGCTTTTACTACTCAATAATGCTCCTCATCAACTGCAAATTCTGCTTACCACCCTTGCCGCCAGCGCCCTGTGACGCATACCCACAACGATTATGTTATAGACTGTAAAACGAGTTTGGTGAAGCAAACATACAAACTGAACGTATGGGAAAGTGTGCGCGAGAGACAGAGTAGTTCAAATCGCTGAAGATGAACTAAATCTTGGATTGAAGACGTTCACAGCAGCGAATGAACTCATACACACCTTTTGGCGCCAGTCTTGGATTAAGATTTTACTACGTTGTGCAGCTTTCCTTGCAGCCTATAAAAACGATAAGGACAAACACCTGGTCATTCTTCAAAAAAGAATGGATCCATACATGCCTGATGTTCGAAGACGTTCCTGATCACAAATGGGTCCTTATTCAACTTAAACACGAACCTTTCTCACAAGAACCATTACCATCTCTGAACAACCACTGAGACGTCAAAATTGTACGAAACATAGGTCTGGTGGGAAGAGTTGGTTCAACAGATCTTTGATCATCTTACCACGGTATCGACATCTTACCTACGACAGAGGAGTAGCAACAAGAAAACCACAACCAACTTCACCAGTCCAGACAAAAAAAAGCTCAACGAGAACACATTTCGTCCAAATCGGCAGTGTAATTGCAATAAACTGAACAAAGGCGGCTGGATCATCCCTGACGAACATTAATAGAAGGACATTTTTGGAACCATGCAAGATGAATAGACCCGACAGTCACAAGTGTTCTAGCTGAGAACTGGAAGTAAAGATCTCTTGTGTGTCTAATTTTCAGATATAGGTCCAATCGCGAAATCGGCTTCGACGTATTTAGAGGTCTGATACGAACATGTTGACTTCAGAGCGTTTTGAAGGCAAGGAAAGGCTGAAGTACTGACCAGAGGCACTTACACCCTAGACGCAGGTAACTACAGAATAAAAGCAGAATCAGAAATAAAACAGGAGTATGCATAGCTTAAACTACAGGTCCTGTATTCTGTCAAACACAAACAGTTCACCACCAGAGCAAGGTAAAGGGCAGGATTGATAAGAAATAAAGAGACAAACACTGAGGATAAGAAAGAAGACTGATGATAGAGACTTCCCTCTTGATGCACAAGCAATTAAATGCTTTCTGGTTTTTACGGCCGTCAAACTGCTAGTAGAGGTGGAGGTTGTCTAAATTTTTGCCACTTTAGACGGGCATTCGTATGCCATAGTTGGTGCTACTCAATGTAGAAGTAATGTGTTGAATAACCATCCGGAACAAAGAAGTCTTAGTGGTATTCCCGCAAGAGATTAAATTTCAACAGGTTTAGAAGGTTGTGTTTTACCTCTTCAACTTTAATCTTTCCAACAGCTAGCTTCTCCTTTGTCTCCACCAAACCAACTGCAGCTTTCTCCTTCGTGTCCAAAAACCCCACAATAGCAAGTTCTTTTGTGTCCTGTAACTGCTTCTTCAGCATGATACTTGCGGATCGAAACCTTTCCTGTACGGAAGGTCGATCTTGCAAAGAGGCTTCATGAGCCTGCTGCTGCTGCTGCAGCTGCAAGAGAGACCACCGGGCTCGTACCACTGAGCCTGCACGCTCAGCAGCCCCAGCCACACTGGAACCCGCATTTTTGGCCGCATCTCCTACAACTGAGCCTGCGACTTGCGTAGCTTGTCTAAGTTTTATACCTGACATATTACACAATCTTGTTAGTGCCTACAATCGTAGGGAATCCGATCGCACCGAACAACAATTTTCGGACAGCAAATGTTTAAAATGTTAAATTCCTATATCAAAGGATTGGTTTCAGCGGTCATATATTTCCAGGTCACAAACTTTCTCTCATAGACTAACTCCTCCTGCGTAGCAACGCTTTACTAGTGAATTTTGGTGCTTTAAAGAGGTAAATTCAGTATGGCACTTCCGAAATTAAATCACTGGATGCTAAAAGTCTTGAAGATATCTATGTATCCCTAGTCTAAAAAGCGTTTGATGACGGTAAAATTGGTTTCAGTTCGAAAAGAATGACTCACTCGAAGACGAGAGAAAGCCACCCGCTTTTCCACGCCATTCAGCTGCTGCAGATGGCGGCATATCAGCATACACGATCACCTTCAAGTGCAGACTAAGGAGCCCGACACGCTTACTTTGCTTATAATCTGCACCATCAACAGAACATACCGAGGTAAGGCAAACCAATTCTGTAAGAGGCGTCATGTCTTGCGAATGTTTTTTTGTGACCCTCGTTGAGCATTTTGTCTCAGCTTGGCTGTCTTCATGGCTGCGCAATCACGACCCTAATACGTTCTTCCACACATCACTACCATCAAGTCTTCAAATGGCGACTTGCGGGTGGTAAAGTTAAAACTTCTTCTTTTACAGGTTGATTTGATGTTGAAGCCGGAAGTAAATCCGAACTCGACTAATGAAACGGTTTCTTGGAACAAACTTTCGCACCTATCTCCGCAGGATGACACAAGTCTAAGGAGCTAAGGTCCACTCAAATAACCTGTCTCGTCATCAGGCACTCATCTGCTTAGACATCTGGGCCTTGAGCCTTTCAATCCAGTCCGATGCGGGTAGGCTTGATCCATGCCGGAACAGTAGTCACAGTCTTTGCTACGAGCTACTCCGAATCATGATATAACCTTGCCGGATTTCCTTAACGCCATTGAACTTCGGATCTAAAGTCTAAATTGAAGAAAACTTGGGACCACATCTATACTAATGGGTTGTCTGCGCTCGAGGTCAAATCACCCACGTTCCACCATCGCTTCCAGTAGTTGACAGTGTAAGATTGGCAATAAGAGGTTTTGTATTCTTTGATTAACAAAGGCACCTCGTTTTCCAACCATACTTCTACGCGTGGGTTGCTCAAAACATGCCTTAACCACACAGAACCGACTCAGGCAGCTACATTTATGAACGCTCTTGTCTGTGTTAATCTGCTGCTTCAAGTGAAAACGATAGTGACTGAGAAGTTCATCGACACTGTCCACTTACCTGCAGAGCAAAGATGTTACCACCTCAGATTGAGGTGAATTAACAATGGTATAACGTCGATTCCGAGAGATAACGGTCAGCCAATATGTCCATCTGCTGCCTTGTCCGTCAATCTGCAATAAGAACATTCCATCAAGACGCGAAAATACACATACAGATGTAGGTTCGCATTATGCAGCACCACGCAGGCATCGACTTCAGGCTATGCCGATAGCAGCATCATAATGCCTATCGTTCGCATTTCTGGCTTCTAGACCTTCTGTATTACTGATCTGCATTCGTTAACTGCCTAGGATGTTATCGAGGCACGCAAAACAAGACAGGAGGAGAGCCATAGATTCTGCGTTTGCTTCCGGTGGGAGGTAAGTCCTCTTCGTGGTTCCCATCTGGATCGTGAGTTCCTAGAGTTACTCGTGACTGTTTTGTCTAGCATTACGCTCGTGTCCCCGCGCTGACGCTTCCGCGAGGGAATTAACACCAGATTGCGCGAGGAATATCCAGCAGATTATGAAAACCCTCCTCGTTGCTAGTACCACTAGCACACGGCAGATGCACGATCAGGTTGGAAAGCGCAACATGGAGCTAAATAAAATAGTGCAATCAAACACTTGTATGCAGAAAGATCGTGATGCGGAACAGTGTCCACAGAAAAAGATGAGCAACAGATGCCTCGAAAAGTGAGCGAGCCCGATAAAGAACGAGAAAAGGAGCTGCTGAAAAGACGCTCCATCGTAGCCTACGAGCATATTCACAACTTTAGGCTGTGACTAAAAGTAACGCACTTAAAGACAGCGACGTGATGCAATACACATCCAGCTCACGGATGCAAAAAAGTGGCAGAGAAGGGAAAGAAGAAATGAATGTAAAGGATTTCAAAAACTAAATTCGGACGCAGGTTTCTAGATAGTGAAGTACAGCCTCGGCATGCACAGTCCAGGCGGAAGAGCAAGAGGAACAAAATCGACAGCAATGAATGTTCGGGAATTCGAAACGAGAAAAGACGAGAGACGAACTAGACAACACAGATCTCGGCCGGAAGAAAGACAATTGGAACTGAACACCGCGGTAGAGCACAAGCACGAACCCGAACATGAGATGAGGTCGCCCTTTTCAGTTCTTGAGGCTCCCACGCCTCAAATTCTTCATGATCCGGGATGAAAGCCACGCGGAATCGCGTCGAGAAGATCCAACTAGACGAAGGGAGAAGGGCATGGGTGATCTGCGTACCCAAGGGGAAAGCCTTGGGAACAGAAGCAGCGAAGGAAAGAGAAGCCCGGGCCCCGAGCAATCTGAGTATATCGACGAAGTGTAAAATTATGAGAGCTCAATTGAGTACAAGCTCACAGAGAGCCGAGTCCGGCGTTCCCGCGGTCTCTCAGCGCGTACCCCACCACCCCATGACCGGGGCCTGTGCCAGCTCCGCTCTGGTTCTTCGACGCCCACGCTTCTCCGAGTGGCCGCACTCTCCGTGGAAGTGCAGAGGCGAGGTCCGGGGAAATCCTGTAACACTTCAGTAAAAATCTTCCTACTTCGCTGCTGAGGTCAATACCACATCAAGCATGTTCTCGCCCGCTTCCTCACCAGGCCCTACGCCCTTAGGGCTACAACTCTCGCTCGCTCTCGCCCCTGAAATCACAAACCGGAATGATCGCCGTTATCTTGGACATTATGTCGATCTTCCGTGCGGTCCGGTGCCCAGGTTTGTTTGGAAGGAAATGAACGCCAGGAAGCCCGTGCTCGACTTAAGTAACAGTACGTCACTGCTTTCGAAAACTAACCGACATGGATTCCTCCGTCATGACAGGAAGACGCCAATTTTCTCCCACGCCCTGTGGGTTTTCTTGATGCTCCCTCCCTGTGATCACGAGTTTCCTTCTCACGCTCAGCTCAAAGAAAAGCGCTCTCTCTCTCCCCCTCCCAGAGTGCAATCAATCCGTCACGGGTGCCAAAGTGAGATCCTCTCGATGATGGACACGAGCTCGATTGCGATTCGTCTGTTACCAGAACTATGAACCCACAGTTCCGACGACAAGACTCCGATTTGTCGTCGATTTGCGTCGGATTTTCCTGGTTAGAACGCGGAGCTCCGGCGTGCACTCGTGGTGTGAACGAGATTCTTGAGCTTTCTGCTTCTACAAGAGGACTCCGCCTCGGGCGCTCTGATCTTTCCTCTATCGATCTCTGCTTGGATTCTCGAACGCTTTTCGAATATCTACCCTTCCTGCGCGCACGTTGGTGCTAGGAAACATATCGTTGGGGCGCGAACCTCGTCGGATACCGCGCTGACAACGAATCAGCGATGGCGCTGTCGTCGGCGTACGCGTGCAGATGTGCCATCAAAACTCTACACGATCACGATTGACTATCGGAGACACCAGACCTAACCTTTCATCACACGACCTTGCTATGCAAACCCAGAGGTTCCAAACATTCATGCCGTGGAGCGAGCGAGGACTCTCGATGGCGAGTGGAGATCTCGCCCCTGATGCACAGAGCAAAAGCACCGCGAGTGATTTTCGAGACCTACCGTGAACTGGCTTTTGTGCAAGGGAGGGTGGTCCCGTGCTCTTCTTGTCGTACACCGCAGCGCAGAATACGTGCTCGCCCGCTTGCGAGAGGAGATCACTGCAGCGGTACGGCTCGTCTGGGCTTCATCTCCTAGCCTGGGCGATCTAGCCTTCCTACTCATTCGCGTGCATTAATTCGGTTGTCACTCCTTTCCGATGGGATGCTGCCTTTCCATCGAAATTGAAGTGCGCGACAAGATTTCATCTTTCTTTGGTACTTTTACGCACAATGACAACGCACTTATCTCGCACTGCCCCTAAAAAGGCAGATGCGCTGCCCCATGTGCATCTCTCTAGAACCTTATATAAGAAAAGCCCACCCGAGGTCCCATCTTATCAGGTTTTCCGCCAGATTGATTTGGTGTATGGTCTGATGGGCTACTCTTCACCCAATGGCGGAGTTTCGGCTTGGCATATGCTGCTTCAAACCGGTCTGCCGACTCTGCCGACTCTGCACTCCTTTCTTGGAGCCATCGCATCGGCAGACTGCACTTTTACTCGAGTGTCTGTTCTTGTAACGAAAAAGTGGAAAGATCCTTGATGAGAAACTCTTTGACTTTTGGACCTTCTGGAATGCTTTTGGTCCACTTGCCTCGTCGCCACTCTCGACTCGCAGCAGGTCGCTGCGGTTGAGCATGCCTTCCCGGCGATGAGGAAAATCCCATCGAGGGAAGTAAGTAGCCAAGGCTAGCTAGACGCTCCAGGAACAAGTCACTGCAATTGCTCAGAGCTACGTTCTGCGGTGGTCAGATGGTGTCCTGTCCACATTGTCAACGTGCGCTGGAACGAGTTCCGCTGACCTGCCTCTGCCCTGACTCGTATCTCTGAAAAACATTGAATGGGATGCATTTTCTCTCACATCTTCCTTGCACATGGTTCTCCTGAATCTTCCAACATTCGCTGCTTGAAGGATGCTCCAATGACACAAATGAACTGCTTTCATTGATTTGAGAAGCCTAGAACGTAGTTGACATCAGATTAACAACGAGGGACACCATCCAAGTTTTGGGGAAAACCTGGCAGGAGGAAGTTTAGGAAGTCATTGTCGTAGAAGACTCTAGCTCACAGACCTCATGGAATATTTGGATTTACCGCCACCTGTCTTGAATACGACACCGCTTGCAAAGGATGGACGGAGGATCGTGTTCTAACATCAATGAAGGGAGCAACTAACTTGGAACGGGAGATTGCGGTGAACCTTAGTAACACGCATCCTCATACCTTTGTCAAGCTGGCCTCACATGATTCCACCCAAACAAGCTACCAGTAATCTTAGGAACGTGCCGAACATTCTTTTTTGGTCCCTATCTTACAATTAAGGGAAGCGCTGAGTGAAGATTTCAGAGAAGGACACGGACAAGTCAGCTCCTGCATGTTCTGAACGACATGAAGTATCCTAGGCATATGGACTCACTCGAAGACCACTACAGTTGGGTTAAGAGAGAGAGAGAGAGAGAACATCACAGAGTCGCAATACTTGGTCAGGTAGAGAATATTGAGCTACAAAGCTCAGGCTCCTCAAGCGCAATCATAGGAATTCAGCATCCATCCCATATGAGGGAATACATTTCGATGAATCATATTCTTCACTAGCCAAGACGGAGCATTCCATGTGACGACACGAAGCGTAAGCTTAGAGTAGATGCACTTTCTTTAAATGGATCGAAGCGGACATAAGTCTGCTACCACAGTCAACGGCCCAATTGCTGCTTCATTTTAAGAAGTTTAATCAGGTTCAGTTTTCCAGAAACTTATTTGCTTGTTCAGACAAGGAAGGCGTAGTCCGTGCTGACCGCAGGTTACAGGTACCAAACTGTCAGCACATTTCACACAGAGGTCACTTTTGCAGATTTCCATTGTTCGTTCTCTCTTATATGACACCAGCGGCGATACACCGTCGGCGGACATCCAAGTAAAAGTGCAGGTCATAAAAATATTTATTTGTACAAAAATTTTCACGGTTCTGCTCACAAACATGAAACTTGGTGTGAAGTGGAGACTGAAAGTTTCTGAAAGGTCATAGCAGACAATACACAATCCCTACCGACTGAAACTCGTGAGGCTACTGGATCCAGTCAAGTATTGGAGATACGTGTAAGTATGAACAAAGTAGTTTGGAATAGGTCGTCGTCCATGTATTGCTCATTCTCAAAAAATACCATCTCGTGTGGTCTCACCTGGTTGGATTCAAACCTCCTAGGAAGTAAAATAAAGTTCGAGGAAACAAACCTACGATCTTGTTCAATGTCGAAGAAACTTGTCAGCAATTTTACCAACAGCTCCCTGGGGAAAAAACGCACCAGGCACAGAAGCATTTCCGCTTCCATATAGAAGACCGAGTACCTGCCTCGTTGAAAGCCTTAGTGGCAAAAAATCCTTATCGACAGTTACGATACTGGCCACGAGGTTCTGCTCCGAAAGTTGCTGGAAGGGTAGAAAAACTGTTTCATCCATTTCCTGATCTTGGATTAATCTGGTGCAGTATGTTGATATCTTGTCTGTAATCTGAGCCACCGTCAGGTTGTACGTTTTAAGGGTTTCTTCCCTGTGCTGATAAAGTAGGGTTCTCAGAATTGCATCCTGTGCCGAGGTGATGCTCAGCAAACCACCCAACAGCTGCAATGACATGCACAGTGGCTCACTTCGATCAGGCTGAATTCTAACAACTTACATCTTTGGTCTTCTGATGGAGAGCTAAAATCTTAGACAGCAATGACTTTACGACACTGCACCAACTAGACAGAAACCTAGAGGAAGGTACAGTAAAGCAAAGAGCACATCACTGTCCAAGAAGTGAGTATTTGTCCAAGTTGAGACGGCGTCTGACATTTCACTGTGCAAGTCCAAATGCTTGTAGTAGTCCAGACGCAGATGAAAAGTAGGAGATTACTGCTACTCTTGCCTGATCCACGGCACGCCGTAGGATTTCAAAAGCAGCTCATGATGCTTGATGCTAGAATAAGAGATGCCCTGACAACTGGTATTGGAGAAATGTTGCAGGTGTGAGCAGTCACACCTGCAAGGGAGATCAGCACAGATCGAGAAAGAAAACTTCTGTTCCATCATTTGTGTAATCCGTAGTGTCAAGACACTTGTGTCTTTTTATCTTGAAAGGCTGTTGTAATCAATGCCAGTTCAAACTCGAGCAGAGATGCACATCAAAAGTTAGAGAAATATACCTTTTGCGCTTCTTGCCCAACGATATGAGAACTCTGATCGAAGTACGCGGACAAGGCAGCATACGGTAACACTTGGGCTGCTATAAGGAAGCTTATAGTGTCATTGTAAGGGTTGAATGGAGGAATTAGCTCTTGCTCCAACGCTTGGGCGAGAAATCGCGCCCACACGCTCCTACTGATATCTAGCTGAGGTCTGGGGACCGCTTTGCCCTTCAATTTGCTACGAATTAACCTGTCAATCAGTGGACTCTGCTCTCAGCTCATGCGGGAGTATGTTCCTCCCAGGTAATGCTACGAGCTCTCAATACCTTGAGTACACCTGTTTGCTTGGATTTATAAGCTTGAAGAAAAAGAGTTCAACCTTCTACGGAGACTTGTTCAATTGTCGTATAGTCTTTCTTAAAGAATGTACGGTCCGTTGAGTTGTTCGTGATTTCTTTGAGTGGACTTTACGAAGTTGGTTGGCGTTTTGGCCACCCCTTTTACAGTAAGCTTCTCTGCTTATTGTGTAGGACAAGGTTTATGACAAGAACAAGTACACTACATTTGATTGCACTGGAGAAAAACAGAGCATTTATAGATAAGTTTCAGTACCTGATGTGTCCCATCCCTTGAAACCCACTTTCTTTAGCAACTTTTTCCACTAGTCTGTGTCCGAGATGAGCTTTTTCACCACCAATTGGTGCTGGGCCAGCGTTGCTCAGCTCTGGATCAAATCCATCCAACCCCTGGCCAAATGCGGCGTGCAGAAAGAACTCAGCCAGCAGATACTCCACATTCAAGGCTACATTGATGACATCCTCATCATGTTTGGTGAATCGACGATGTCGCTTAGGTCTTGGGCACGATTTTTCAACCACAGTATTCCGAGGTGGCCAAGGACTTGGCATGGTGGGAATTGCATGCCTTCGCCTTCCAGGCTCTCGAAATCCTCTAGTGGGCTCTTCCCCATTACCTGAATCTCTACGACCATGGACAGGATCTGTGACATTCGTTCCACCTGGCGGAGTGACATGGATTTGCTCACTTCCATGAACCGATCCATTTCCCTGGAGAACTTCCCTCACCTCAGAAGCTGCGACAGAAGCTACGGTCAAAAGAACAAACCAATTCCAAATGGAAGAACTCATGTTGCTGCTCTCAGGAAAACTGTACCAAACAAAACATCGTGCTGCTCATTTGCCCCACGAGCAACTGCTCGCAATTCGACAGCTGAAAAACTGGAGACATCCCATAGTCGAGAATCAGTCCCGCGCAGATCCTTAAGGGCATTCATCGAATGCCAATTTCTGCCTTCTAGCGACGCCGAGCCGAGCGATGGCGAAGTTCCCGAGTTCCACATTCTCTGCCTCCCAGACACGAGACGGGGGCGGTTACTCTCTGGGACGCAACCTGCATTAGCAGGTCGCCGACCTCCGATGACCCTCTGTACCAAGTCGCCGTCGAGTGTCGGCTCAGTATCCCCACCTCAAAGAAGCCCCACGCTCCCCTGTTCGCCTGAAAGGCTCCTCTTCAAGAATGTTTACAAGAACATTTGGGCCCTGCAATTTTCAAAGGGACAAGAACATTGCGGGCCCATTTCTTACGACGATTGTGATTTTGAATATGTGAGAGCATATCTGCTGCAATCGACTCTGCGGAATTTTCCGAAGACTAGTTTTTTCTTGAGTTGTAGAGATATGGACTAGAGCTCAGAAATCGTCAATAGAGGAAATTGGTTCGAGAACTGTTTCCTCTACGGGCGATTGTTGGATGCTGCAAGCGGGGGCGAGTCGTGGAGTTGAAGAATGAAGCGATTTTTCCAGCCAGTGGCGAAGAATGGGACAGCCACCAAGAAGCAGGCAGTTGAGAGCAAGGAGCTCAATGATGTAACCGAAAGTGCTGCAGCGGAAGCAGAGAGCGGGAATGAGGCGAAGGAGCCTTTAAGGTTTCTCTCTTGGAATGCGAACAGCTTTCTGCTGCGCCTGAAAAACAATCGAACGGAGTTTGTTGATCTTATTAGAAGCTTCGATCCTGACGTTATTGCAATACAGGTTAGTTACCTATTACCAAAAGTCTGACAAAAAACTCAGTGTGGACTTACATTGTATCATTGTGATTTTCTCTCGTTGAAGCGCGAAAAATCAGCTGTTGCGAGTTAGTCATTGATTCGAAGAGTTTGGCAACTGCCAAATATAAATTCGGATAGTTAGATATTTTCACCTGAATGTCAGCGCCAGGAGGGTACTTGAACTTGACTCGTACGTATCATTTGTGTAAATTTATTACATCTTAGGAGGTCCGACTGCCAGCTGCAGGCAGAAAAGGTGAGAGTAAGAATCAGGGGATCATCAAGGATGACACGAGCGCAGCTCGTGAAGAAAAGCAGGTACTGTCAACATTCTAAACAGGGGCTGAATTTTACGCAGCAGTAATGATAGATTTCATCATTCAAAATGGTCTCAGTTGACAGATGTCTGAGAAAAGTCCATATTACTAAGAATGATGTGTGCACTGCCTGCGGCCTTACTGAGGACATTCTTGAGAGTCATGGAAGCTTGAGGATGACTGGGTGACTCGTTCTTCCTCGTCCATTATTCGCTGGACTACATACCCCATTATCTGGTAGATATCTTTGACGTGGCTGACTAACTTCAATGCAAAACATGTCTGCAGGCTGTTATGCGAGCTTTGTCCGTCTCACCCCTTTCGGATTATCAAGTGTGGTGGTCGCTAGCCGATAGCAAATACGCCGGCACTGCCCTTCTTGTCAAACATTGCTTCAAACCCGTTTCGGTCAAATTCTCTCTCGAATCAGGTGCCTCACGAGGTATTTTAAAGTGATAGAAGTGTTCTCGCCTCCAGAACCTGCATAATCTTCTCATCTCTGCTGCAGCACGCACAAAACATTCATAACGCTTTGACATCCATATGTTATAATTTCTGACAACAGGAAGCTCGTTTATAAGCCAGCTTTCTGTTATCATCTCTCGTAAGCGCCGCAAATGTAGCGTTTTTTAAACTATGTGTTTCTATCGTTCTCCGACCGCTTTGCCCTCGGCAAGAACCATCTTTCATGGAAGTTTGTTTGCACTGTTGCTAAGTTATCGTTTACCTGGAAAACTGTGGTTGTTCAATTCGTGAGATGCAGCTCGTAGAACACAGTAAGACCCCATCTAAAGGTTGTGGAAACGATGTGTTGGTATGTACACAGAAAAGGCCTCTGAGATGGAAATCTTGAAGTTTGAGTTTGTTGTTTATGTAACATTGCTTTGGTAATGCTGTGCAGATACACACGTACCGGATGGAAGAGTTATTCTTGCTGAGTTTAAAACCTTTCGGCTGCTTGTAACATATGCTCCCAACAATGGCTGGAAAGAGGAGGAAACTAGCTTTCAAAGACGTAGAAAGTGGGACAAGGCCTTGCGTAAATTTGTTTCACAGGAGTCCAAGAAGCCTCTGATATGGTGTGGGGATCTCAATGTCAGGTGCGTAATTTAAGTGAACCTTTTTTCGAGCTAAGAATATAGAGTTAAGGTGACTAGCAGAGTGTGTTGAAGTTATCCAGTCGATGTCAATACCGTCTCTAAGCTGTTGTGTTACGCGGAGATACATTGGCTACTAGCTGACAGTCATCCATCAACATATTCTGACTATATGTTGACTATAACATACATAGTTTATGCTAACTTAATTAGCAGAAACTATGTATGTTCTAGTCAACATTTTATTTCAGTTTTGTATAGGGTTGTACTAGACTTTGCAGCTTGATTTAGTTTCTTAACTTGAACGTAATAATTTGAGACAAAAAACGTGGGATGGTTCATGTATTCAATGGACACTGAAACGTCCTTGATAATTGGGATTGCAGTCATCAAGATATAGATGTTAGTCATCCAGACTTTTTCCGGACTGCTAAACAGAAGGATTACACACCTCCAAACGCAGAGGTACGATGAATAATCACCATTCTGTCGAAAGAAACTTTGGATAGATTGATATGTATGATGTTGATTGATGAGCCGGTAATATGTTTACGAAGTTTCTTACTGTACTTCTTTCCTTACATCATAACGTGACCATGAGTAATTGTGTTTATCCATATCTCCGCAGTTGATTGTTGCTCTTCCTCCTCACCGATGCAGAGAGCTAATTTCCAATTTCTATGTCCTTCTCATTCAGGACGTTGGACAACCAGGCTTCACAGCAGCAGAGAAGCAGCGGTTCTCCCAGATTCTGAAAGAGTACGTAGAGACTAATTGTCATCTGCTTACATTGTACACAGGCTATGAAATATCTCCTAACAAAAGTCTGAGCTTCTTCAACTTCTGCCTGTGATGACCAGCCTTTTCTGAGCCCAATTATAATTACTCACCTGTATCTGATGGCTCCAGTCTGTCTACCTTCGCTTGCGAAGAATGTTCACTCGACTTTGCTGATACGCCGTTTCTAACTTCCTGTCGAGCTAGGAGTACCAACGAGCTCGTTAACTTACACCAAAAATTTTCATTAGTTTAATTTGGCCAGATATGTAATCACATTGTAAAATCTTCAAGCCTCAGAGAATTCATGCCAATTCCAGTCTAACATAAGCGGAAATACTAATCTTACTTACATGTTTCAAGTTGGCCCAGATGTCCCGAGCAGGTGGGAAATCTCCCACCTCATCCTTGTTGACGCGGTCTAGAGTCTTCCCAAACAGCCTCTTAGTTACCTATCATATACATCATCTATTACTCCCCCTCACCCTCAGTTAGGCTGTGAGCAGTTTAGAACTTTCTTGATAGCACTCTCCGCATTCAAAACTAGACCAAGTCGAAATCGAATTAGAGTGCAAACTTGTGCCCACTTTTCGTCAATCGAGCACTTACAGGTGTGATATGTTGTTAAGTAATTGATCACTGGCAAAGTTGTTTACTATGACATATGTTCTTTCCAGTCAGACTATTGACCTCAGGTTCAAGTATCTTAGGTTGAGATCTTTTCGAGTTAAGACCTCAAGAACCTAATTTTAAGGTTGCTGATGGTTGCTACTTGAACACTCAAGGTAATAATGTAATTTATAATGTAGGAGTCATGTCCTCTCTGTGTATAGGAGTAGAATAATAAATGTGAAGGGTAAAATTTAACCATTAACTTTTACTTTAGATACGACTAATTTATTGTAGAGTTTTAAGCAGGGTTTTGGCCAGCCATTAGCCTCCTTAAGATTAGGTTTTTGAGTGAAAACCGCATTGTCAAATGTGAACTAAGAAATCAGTATATATTGCTCGAATACAAATCAGAGTACAAACTTTGCCAATGATCGTTCACTGATCGCACATAGGACCGTTAGATTGCTAATAAGTGAGGGTGGAGTTTGCTCTCTATCTTCATTTCTCCAGGAATATGTTGTTAAATATTAGAGTTTCATCTCAGCTTTTCGTCTCATAGGCCATCTGAATGTAAGGGGGAATAGCAGCAAGCTGTGGCTAATCCATGCGATTCAGTGAAGAGGTAATGCACCAGTAGTGAAACATCTAGGAGATATCCCTAGTCAGTTGCTGCTATGGAGTTCAAAATAGCATAAAAGTGATCGTTGCTTATGCCAAAAGTTAGCAACAATAAAATGCATGATTAATTAAAGGCATGATTAAGGTAGCAAAACGATGGGAAGCACCATTGTTTTGCCACCTTAATCGAATAGGATGAAACTTATGGGAAAATGTTAGTAACGAGGAGGAAGATAAATCAAAATTACAAAAAAAAATAGGATGACCCCATCAATCTGTACAAAGAAGAAACCAAGTGTGCAACATGAGGGTAGGCCCCATTAGCATCACAATCGCAAATATATTATAGTTCACAAGAATTTTTTAAATTAGATAGAAAGATTTGGAATTAACAGAGCATGCAAATAAAAATCATCTATCGATGTTTGCAAAAGTTAAAGATTCCTGAAGCATGAAAATTCTATGTGTTGCCTACAATCACCATTGTACTTCTAAGCACGTACTCTGATTTAATTGTTTTGTGTTTAACTGTTTGCGACCTGTGCCATTGAGCAGTGGTGGTCTGGTGGACTCCTATCGATGGCTGCACAAATCTCAAGACTTCGAAAATGGCTTCTCATGGTCTGGGAATGCCGTTGGAAAGTAAGTTTGATTTATCCATTGAACTGGTAGAATGGACTGTCCTTAATGGATGTGGGCTCTCATATGTGCTTGTTTCATATGCAGATATCGAGGAAAGCGTATGAGAATAGACTACTTTCTGATATCAGAGCAGCTCGTTGGGAGGTTGCTGCACAGTGATATCCAGGGATCAGGAATTGACCATAAAGGTAAAGCTTGCTATACTGTTACTTCATGTAGATTACGTAATTTCGACATCCCTGAACTCAGCATTTCTAACAAATCCATATTTCGTCTATACAGGGTATTGCGGAAGTGATCATTGTCCAATAACGTTGGAATTGTCACCAGCAACATCAACAGTGCCAGCTCATCTACCGCATGTTTCTTCAATAGATACTGATTCTACAACAGGCATTGATGTAAAAGAAATCACACCAGAGGGAGTCTGCCCATAGACTCTTCTGACCAAGCAGTTGCGTTGTCCTTCAAAATCATTGGACGGGATGAACTTTCTAACAACGGCACAATCATCTCACCTCCCAAGAAGTACAAGTACTTGATGTGGGTTGGATGCATTTCTGCAGTTTTCGGGACAGGAGAATGGTTCTTCAGAGCATGTTAGTTCATAGCAAATTTAGAGCAGTAGTCAAGTATTCGCTACAAATGTGAAGTATCTCAACAACAGAGTCTGATGGATCCAAGAAATTTTGAACAAAACTCCCTGAGTCCTAATTCTCGCCAAATCTTTGCAGGTCCTGAAAGAAGTAAAAAGAAGGTGCCTTCCGCGCAATTAGGACATTTTGTACATACTGTACGTACTATCGGCTCACTTATTCCTGTAAAGTTTTAAACGTTCAGTCAGTTTTCTTGAAACTTTCTAAGTGTACAGATCGGTTTCCCCACTTGTCTCATATCCCCTCAAACTTTGTTTTCCAGATCGTGCGAAGTCTTTACATCTGTAATGAAATGCACCAACCAGAGGCTGCTGGAAGCTTCGTCATCATAATCTTAGCAAAAGAAAATAGCCCACTTCATCCACACTTCAGGATCGTTCGATCCAAATAATGAAAAGTCCGGAATTGGTGTGATGTCTGTGTGGTTCAATTTATGTACCACACATACTGACAGTCAAAAACAGTCCAAGACACATATATGAAATTCAGAAGTGTTTGTTCAATAGAATTAACGAACTGTATAGGAGGATTGAAGTGTACAAAAATTGCAATAAAGATTTACTCAATAGAATAAATCGTAGAATAAGAACACACAAAAAAATTTATGTATATAAGAATTTATACATATATTATTTTATCGTTCAAATGAATATAATTAATTGTACATCATTGATATGATGCAATCTTATCAGCTAAGTATACATAAATACGAACAAAAATATAACAGAGATTAAATGCATTAAAGTTACTGATGCAATAAAAGAAATCCTCACATCAATTTAATAATATGATATAATTAGAGACCGGGATGTAGCAATAAATAAATTATAAGTGTAAGGAGTTATTTTCTTGGTTAAGTATTATATTAAAATTTAACGAATTTAATATATATCAATAATCATGAAAGCTGAAATACATAAAAACAAATTATAAATAACAATACTAGCAATAATTCAACAACTTATTTTACTTCCGCTTTAACAATAATTTTAATATTAATTATACTATAATTAGTCATGACTCTTTTTAAAATATAATTGAACAAAATTCTATATAAAATTGGAGATTATTTTCTTGGTAATTTTAATCTTAATTTTTCTTCGCAATTAGTAATCCATAAAATAAATAAAATCAGTCTTCATTCAAAATTTCCAAAACAATTTCTTACTATGTAATCAACATATTTTAGAGTTTACATTTTGAAATGTAATGTAGTAGTTTTTTTTGCATTTCTTTGTATGTAGTTGATAAAAAAATTTAACAAAATATATATTGAAAATCTTTGCATGTTTAGTTTACTTAATTGATGACAGAAAATTGAAATCAATTAAAATAATTATCTTCATGATTTAAAAGTGAAATTTTAAACCACACAAGAGATACAGTATTGCAGTGATCATTGTATAATTTAAACACCAATTATTATTATTATTTCTAAATTTTAATACTTACTCATGTATGGATATACAAGATCATGAAAGAAATAAAGTTGATGTTTCATAAAGATATTGCAATTTCCACTTTGGTGAATAAGGAATTTTTAGTTTTTTATTATTCAATGTTAAAAAAAAAATGACTTAAAAAAAAATTCAGTATCTCAATATTGATATGAATGAAATAACTCTCTATCTTCTAATTGAATTTTGTTAAATAAATAAAATTTATTTGATCTTAAACAAGATCCAAATTTGTCGTAGTCTGACTTACTATTATATTTTTTAAACAGAATTTTTTGTATATAATTTTTATGACATTTACTATAAAAGATCATTTTTAACACATAGAATAATACATATCTTGTATTAAAATACTTTTCTAAAATCAAAATGCATTGATCTCTCATAATTTAATTTTAATTATAAGACTTCTTCGAATATCCTTTATTTGATGTTAATGAAATATAAAAATGAATAGATGATCATTTTTTAGAATATATTGAAAAAAAACGTCAAATTTTGAATAGTACTTCACATCAAATATAATTTGATTAAAAAAATTTCAAATACTTAACTCAAATATTGGTTTAGTTAATATTTTACTATGGTCAGTTAAAATCTAATCAACTAAATAAGATAGTCTGTCACAAATAAATAGAGCTCACCGAACCCCTTAGTGACACTTTTAGTATCATTTGTGACTACGTTTGAGGTGTTGCCGTCGTTACAACCGCCAGTGATACAGAACATAGTACTTTGTATACTCTTGTGTTTGTATTCTTTTATATGAAAAGTTTTAGCTTTATAAATCTACTTTCATTATTGATTTTATTTTTATGTACAAATATATGATACATATATTTTTGAATACTATGAATAGTTTCAACCTAAATTTGTGAAAATAAAAATAGATCATTTGAGGAGAATTCACTATCTATATATAAGATACAAATCAAAATTTTGTTTTTTCAAATAATTTTTTAAGAATGCAAAAAGAAAGAAATATTTTCATCATCATACAAAAAAATTTTTGTCTCTAGATTAAATTTAATTTCACTATGAGTATTAAAAGTCAATTCAAATCTTAATTGACTCCAGATTGTTAAACTATGCTCATTCAGACTAGAATTATAATTGCCATATGAAAGTGTTAGTTTAGCTATTGTTTTTGGTTTCAGATTTTAACACAAAAGTAAGAGATGTGGATTTCATACTCTAAGTTTACAAAGACAAATCAACTAATCTGATGTAGAATTTTACTCCTATGATTGATCTTTTAATTATTGTTTATCCTAGTCATAAGACTAGATAATGAATTGAAAAATCCCATATAACAAGATAATTGTCATGAAGTTTCATGTAATTTTTTTTATATTGTTAAATATCATAGACGTAGTGATTAATAATGAGATTAAATCAGTTCATGCGTTTTTTTGTCTTTAAAATCAACACGTGTTATTTTTATCATAATAAAAAACTATCATTTACAATGAGACTTTAAATGTTTTAATGAGTTGATAAACAAGCTTTCAAAAAAATGATTATATTTACATCATATATTTTAACCTTGTGTGATATGTATATATATTATGTGTTCATCCATGAAAATTTTCGAAATGACAAGGATGGAGAGAAAAATAGATTTAGAATTAGTTTTAGTCCAAATCTTAAAGCAAAAGAATTTTTGTCTCATGAGATTGTCTCAAGTTTTTAGACAACAAGTTTCTATGTAAACTAAGGTTAATGATTTTATTTTGATCAACATATTTTAATATTCTTATGCAAGTGATTATGATTTGTTCAATGAAGTCAAAAAATCTTTTAAGTTTGTTGATCTTGTATAAATTTTAAATAATATTTATTTTTACAATATCTTAAAAATTAGAAAATATTTTAACGCATCTTTAATTATGGTCATTTATATCTTATGATTAACAATCAATTATTTGTTTAAAAAAATGTAGGTTTTTAAAATATAAATGCTCTATTAAAGCAAATTTACATTAAATTAGTATTTATTATAAAAAAAATTATTGTTATAGAATTTTTATATGGTTCATTATTTTAATGAAGAAATGTCATGCGAATATATATCATTCTACAATCTATGTCGCTTATATGTTATAGCAGACATTCGTTTAAGTTTGCATCAAGATAAAAATCTAGAGATCGAAATGTCGAGCCAAAATTTCATGAGACATGTCAGAAGTCAAAATTTGAAACGAATTTTCAATACAAATGTTAGAGGTCAAAATTTGAAACGACATTACACGTACAAATTTCAAGGTTCAAAATTTCAAATGAAATTTCACATAACAGATTTCATGGCTCAAAATTTCAGATGAAATTTCACGGATCGAATTTCAAAATCTGCATTCCTATGTAGTTTCATGCGACACACATAATAGCCAACTGCCTATGTGACTTCTGACGCGTAGTGTGGCTTTGTTGTTTTGATCCCGTGGCCTTTGAAGTCTCATCAATATGTGTTCTTTGAGAAGAAATAAATTTCACATATGAAAATCTTTATGGTTAAAAATTGGAGACAAAATTTCAAAGAATTAATTTCTTAGCAAATTTCACAGATAAGGTTCCATGGCTCAAAAGTTCAGAGTAAATTTCATTGATCTAATTCCATGGCTCAAAATTACAAACGAAATTTCACATATTAAAACCTGAAAGCTTTATTATAAAAAATCAAACATTGTCAATTGACGGCTATTTTGAACTTGTTCCCGCACTATGACATACTTACCATGTTGTAAAATACAACGCAGTGTAAAGAGAGCTACCTTAGCATGATTAATATGTTCTAATATTAGATAAAGTTAACATCTTAGGTTGCTCATTTCTACCTCAAGCTTGATAACATTCACCATGATGTGAAAAATCACATTACGCTGTACCATGTCAAAGTAGTTTTGGATATCAGGTTCATCCTTCTTGGATTCGACAATCAAGTACAAATAATACTATTTATAGCATTCTCAATTTACTCAAGCATGTTTGCTTGTTACATCTGCAAATCTTTGTTATTATCTCTCCAACATTTCTCAATTTTGATCATAACATCAATTTCATTCGATCCATCCAGAAAATCACAATTGATTAACAATTCAAGAATTTCAATGATAGTGCTATCATCTTTGCATCTAATAATATCGACGCTGCCGAATCCAGATATAATATCTACTTTTTTAAAACAATTTTTGACACTATCACTAGAAATGTTGTTTCAAGCCGCATTTGCAAAATTTGCAGCTTCAAGCAAATGTGAAAGCTCCCTGTTTGAGTTTCAAAGTAGCTAATACAAGTTTGAATTTAAGTTCTTATAGATTATCATAAAATGTGATGATATCTTTAAGCAGATGATACTTGTATCATTTTTTTGTCGCTGCGATGATATCCATATTCATAGGCTCCTTTCAAGACAAGACATTTGGCGAGAAGAATGCAACAGGAATGTCATTTCGTTCAAAAAATGTACTATAACCAGGAGCGTTGTCAATGAGCAATAAAACTTTTTGCCCTGTACTTCGTCAAACATAAGGCTCAAATACCTCATCAAATCACTTATTAAGTGTCATGTTGTCAATTCAAGCATTTTTCTGATGAAAATAAGGAATGGGTCAAGTATTTTCCACGATGCATGCATGCTTCTTCGCCTTTCCAATCATTATGATCAAGACTCGTTCTTTCCTACTGCCATTGCAATACACCACTAATGTCACACTTTCTTTCACTCGTTTTTTGCCCCAAATAGTGATAAGGTCTTCACGAGGCGTCAGCATTGTAAATCGTGGAATCACTTAGAAGAACACCCAAGTTTCGTCCATATTGTCAACGCATACTGGATCGTATTGGCCCATCAAGGAAGAAAAACCTTCTAAAGCTTTCAAAGTCTCTTGAATTTTTTTTTGCCAACCTTGCTAACTTCTACAAACAAATTTACGCTATTCAAACCGTGTTGATGTCAAAATCTTGCAAACCAGCCTCATGATGCTCTAAATTTCTCATCAGCAGTCCCCATTGTGATCGCTATTTATTTTGCTTTCAGGCAAATATTACTATGAGGCAAAACAAATGAGGCTCTATGTCCTTCATCAATCCATTCAATAAGCTTCTTCTCGACATCTGGAAACATTGTCTGATATGCAAGGAACGTTGACCCTTGAGTGGCTTGGTCTACCCTTTTTGCTCGTTCATGAATTTCATCGTTGTAAATTTTATCGTTCAAATAATTTTTTCATCGACATCAAACTAGCAAGCAATGTTGCGCATGGAAGACGGCTTTGACGCCTATAGTGTATTGATGATTTTCATATGCTAATGATAATTGAGACGCTTGTCTTCAACCTTGCACTTGGAAGATCTCTAAATGTTTATCGTATATAAATCAATCAAAATTTTCTTGACGCTGAAATTTGACTCAATCAGAAACATACAGTTTTCAGTCAATTTTTTTCACGTTGGAATTTCATTGAATGTTAAATGTAAGGTAATTAAGTAAATTTCCTCCACGCTAGAATTGACCAAACCTTAAACTAACGTTAATTTATTCAATTTTCTTCAGGTTGGAATTGACTAAACCTTAAACTAATGGTGATTTGGTCAATGTTTAGGGATTTGATGGAATGGACTGAACTGATGCTTAAGGATTTAATGTTAACGATAGTCATAAGTCCGTAACATCCTGCTGAGATGAAAGTGCAGACTTGAACACACATATAGTGAATGAGAGCGTACACATTCAAATGTATCACAACTGGAAGAATGCTAAGTTCTTTGAGTTTCTCCAACTCTATACTCTCCAACAAGATTAACATAACCTTAAGAATGATACTAAAATTAGTATATGCATGGTACATGACAGAGACTTGGATCAAATTGATTTATTTATTGCAGAAAAGCAATCTTTTGGGAATATGCAGATATGTGAAAGAATATAATATATGAGCTATTGTAGCTTGTAAAATCATTTTCAACTTTTTTTTTTATGAGTTCAAATTATTATAAGAATGGACCTATCTATAACTATCCGTAATCATAAGCAAGATTGAACTCATATAGTTGTTGACAAAAGATTTGATGATGTGATTGAAGTACAAGCTAACGTATAAATATAAGAGATTTTTAAACATCAATAAATAAAAGACTTGATGATTGTAAATGAATCTCAAAAGAAATGAAACAAATGATAGAAATCAGTCAAAACATGATAAAAAATCATTAAATTTGATCAATACAATGCTTGCAAGAAGCGATTCAAAATAATTGAAATTTTAAAGATATAAATTTTCAATAAACCCATGTATATGAACAAGATTTCATTCGGAAATTTTATACATAGAAGTTGCATATCATATTGAATAGATGTCAGTATAAGTAGATGAATATTCTATTTTTCAAGTCAGTATAAATTTCATATCAAATTCATTTAACTAAAATCAATTGCGATGGTCATCAATTTAACACGAAGTTTTGACATCAACATCCAAAGAATTATAAATGAAGCAGATCTCATTAACTCTTAACATTCATTAAGAAAAATATAGGCATTAATATAATGATTTTTAGATTAAATAAATATTTCGGATTATCTTCTGCTCAAAATATGTATTTTTTCTGATGAATGCAAGATTAAGATAATTGATGGATATATTTTAGATTCCCATTATAATGTATTTTGGAATTTATAAATCATCCAAATTCTAGATGCGAGGACAGTCCCTCCTGCTCTTAACAAATGACACTTACACTTTCGGCACCCCATGACGCCGGGCCTCGGGTTGAGCGCTACGGACCTCCGAGCCTTGCTTTTATATCTTAGCCATTGAGAAATTGGAAGTAGGCAAGACGGTGAAAATTTTTCACGGGTCTAACCCTTGGACACCGTTATTTAAATTTTATTATTTTTACTGAATAACAGAGATACTTACATATTTTCCAGACTAGACAATTTTACCTTTATTTCAACTTGTCAAATTTTATAAACCTAGGGCACTTCATTCAATCTTGACCAATAACATTTCATTGTTCAGAGGTAATTATTGAAAGGAGATTCACAGTTTTAGAGTGAGAGACAATATTATATAGAGCCGTATAACACGGTTCAGAACCCGTTACAATCAATATCGAAATAATATACAATTCATCCACATTATTCAGTTTGTATCATGAGACGAAAAGTTATTCGTTCTTGTAAACTTTAGAGAGATTTTATCCATTTCCATTCAATGTATATAAAACAAACATTCCATCTATCATTATAATGACCGTTGAAACATTAATTATAACCAAAAAAATCCTTAATCACAATTTTTTCTAATCATGTTTTCTTACCTCTTTATGAGAAATTTATATTGTTATATATGGTTTTTTATTCGAGGCTTGAATTATTGAACACATGAAGAAATGAAAGGGTACCAATTAGATGGCAAAAACGATGAAATCCTACTCTAAGTAATACAAGGTAGGAAACGAGTAGGTCCCAATGGTATCACATATATATATTAGATGCAACATACACCAGAGTTACACGAAGAATAGTATACAGTGAACATCGGATCTATCCCTTTATATTAAATTTCATCCGTACTTTAAATTTTTTTAGTTTTAGCAATAGTGTTGGTTTTTCTATTCTCAAGATATTGGCAAAGTTTAAATTCATTTAGATCAATGGTTACACTTAGCAAAGTTCCTTTCGGGTTTTTCCAGCATTTTCATTTTACTCTAATTAATTAATTTTTATTCCTAAAATATGTTATTACATGATAATCGAACGTAAAAACCATTTTCGAGAAAAAAAATTCGCATCCATTCACTGGTCTCGAAAATTTAGCCAAATTTCTTATAAATTTTTTACCAGTTGTGATAATAACCAGTCACCTTCCCAACATGTACTGTCCCGACCGACATGTACTTTGGCGGGAGTTCAGGGAGGAAGATATACAATCTCCGGAAATGATTTCTATGCACTCATTGTGTGTGCATATTTGCATTTCTTTTGCACTTCCTTTGCACACAATGAGCCGGATTTCGAGCTCAATCTGCACAGCAGGTCGAAGAAGAATGTACTAAAAGTCGTGGTGACGTTCGACGAGACTACACCATCGGCATTCAGAGCTGTGACGAGAGCTAACCGCAGATTTGGCATCCAAACTTGGCCCGATCATTGTGCGATCTGCAGGGCTCTTCGTTGACGACACGGTGAGTACAGATGCTGCGTTTCAGACTGCGAGACATGCTGAAATTCAGCGGCATGCAGCGAGCCAGAGTTGCTGCCTGCGCGTCAAAATCTCTCTGAAAGTTCGCAGCTGCTAATGCTCCACTCTTTTGCAGTTCAGATCAGCACTCGACACCTGCAGGTCTGGATCTCTGCCCAACATGCTTGCCTCTGTATGTTTGTATATATCAGGTACGGCGCAAAAATATCTCTCTCACTGTGTCTCTCTCCCCCAGAACTCTCGACACTTTCTTCGAACGGCTAAAGGCAGCCTTTGCTCGATGTATGGATTGAGATGATTGGTCTAACGATCGAAAGTGGCGAGAGGCAGATTGCCAACATCCCGTGGACGGGGTGTCGACCGACATCTCCTCGTCTAGAGGAAACTGCAGCGTTGGTCTCCCAACGAGAACAATCATTCTTCACCCGGAGGGCCGTGGATCTCGACACGTACGTCAACACTTGTCTTCCTCCTACACGACTGCAAACTGGGCTCTGTGTGCAATCATCATTTGCTCCATCACCTACGAGCGCATCGCACCGCAGGATCTCCTTCGATTTCCTGCCTTCCTTCCTAATCGTCCCCCGGGCCACCATTTCCACTCCACCTTGTCTCCTGGACGTCAACACGAAAGAGCCTTCTCAATAATTAAAACGACAAACTCGGCGACCGATAATAAAAAAATGCACCAAAAAGGATAGTGCCAATTATTAATCCCAGAGCGAAATATTTATCCGCATGCTCGCTCGTCAATTTCGGTCGGCCTGGGGGCCCTTCGGGTTCACGCATCCGGACCGGAAAATAAAGCAGATGTACAGTTACCGGATGAGAAGGTTGCCGTGACTTTGAAGGTTCCCGAGGGCGTCAGGCACTGCGGTGACCGAAAGCCGTGGAGAAAGCGCGCTCGCGGCGGACGGCGGCCGAGACTGCGTCGAAATAGACGCAGTCGTGGTTTCGGCGAAGCACCCGGCTGCCAACGGGTGCTCGAAAAGCAGCGTCGGGCGAGCTGCTTTTCCGAGCCCGGCGATCGATCCGCAGTGAGGGCACTGCTCAGAGTAAAACGGTTTGCTTCTGACGGAAACAACACGTGGCGCGACGCGGTCGCGGGTCGCCACGGAGCTCGGCCTGCCGCGAGGGCACGTGGCGCCGGCGACGAGGCGCGTCTGCCCTTGTAAATTCGTCGGTTTGAAGTTAAACGGAAAGAAGTGGGCTCAGAGTGTGAAAAGACAAAGTTGAGATAAGGGGCAGTAATGACAGCCGCATGCATTTGTCCCGATTCCGAGCCCGGGCCTTCTATCATGGGAGTGACAGGATCAGGACGAACACATGCTTCACACGCGTTCGTGTATGTCACATGAAGCCCGGGTGATGAGCTGGTTCAAATGCGAGCGAGCATCCATCCAGCAGCCCTCGAGCCTCCCCCGACCATAAATGGTCTCAGTCCCCGCCTCGATTCGAAGGAACAGCGATTTCAACTCCATCATCTCTCCTCCCTCTAACACTCTCAATCTCAGCTCAGCTCAGCTCTGTTCAGTTCAGTTCAGCTCATATCAGTCGAGTCTCGCTTCTCGGAGCTCAGCTCAGTTCGGCTTAGATCTCCCCAGGCGTTCAGGATGAAAGTCCTCAGTGCCTGTCTTTTGACGCTTCTGGTGCTGGGCATCGTCCAGCAGTCCGATGCGCAGGCGTGCAGCACCACGATCTACAAGTCTCTCACCGGGCAGCTCTCGTCGCTGAAGATGGTCGTTGATGCGGCAGGGCTTGCCGATACCTTCGATGACTCGGCGCTGAACGTTACCGTGTTCGCGCCCAACAACGCCGCCATCCAAGGGCTCGTCAATGTGCTCAATGCCAGCGGCCTCACGCTCGCCAATGTGACCGGCAACAACAACAAGGCCGCCAGCATCGTGCTCTACCACGTCGCCACTCTGGTCGCCACCTCGACGCAGCTCGTGAACGACCAGAGCTTGCCCACTTTGTACGGGGGCTACAATTTGACAGTCGACAGGAACGCCACGAATGTCGAAATTGACGGCGGCGCCGACACCCAGGCGACCGTTGTCACTCCCGACGTCCGAGTCTGCGGCTCCGTCGTCCACATTGTCAATGCCGTCTTGCTCCCCCAGGAACTGAACGACATCACCAACTACGTGCCCCCTGCTCCTCCCGCTCCTGGAACTCCCCCGACTCCCCCCGGCACCGTGTCTCCCCCTCCCCCTCCTCCTCCCGGCGGCGCGGCGACCAGAGTCGGCAGCAGCGTGGTGATGGGAGGCTTTGCCGCCATTGCCGTCGTCCTGGCGCTGGTGTAGGGCAGTCGAGACCTCGCGTGGCTTTTTTCTTCTGTGTGATTCGATCCGGCGATGAGAGTCAGTGCTTTTACGGGTTTTTCAGTAAGCGCTCGCAGTTTTGAAGGCTCTATTCTGTATAGAAACTTCAGTCGACTCACCATCCAGACTGGATGGCTTGTGTTCATTCTTTGTAAACAAATTTGCATGTGAACTTGTGTATTCATTTGTTCAAAAGTAAAGCTGGAAAGTTGTTCATTTATCTGAGATGTCGGTTGTAACATCTGCGGTTGTCAGCGAGGTTTATGTTCTGAAATTCTGAAACTGTGATCATGTACATGCGAATGTTTGGAAGTAATGCTGGAAGTTTTTTCGTGAATCATGTTCTAAGGATTGGAAGTTTGAACTTGTATCACAACTGTTTCAATGAGAACATTGACAGCAATCACTTTCGCAGCCTTTGACTGTGACGTCTGGTACTTTCAGCGAAGCTTATGTTCAAAAGTATGATAAAATGTTGATGCATCGAAAAATAATGTAGGAAATTTTGACATGGTATGGTAGAATCTGCAACTGTCAGTGAAATTTGCGAGTGAGTGTCGTAACTAGACGATAATTTATCAGTGACCAATGTTCCAAAATTTTGAATTGTAATAATTTTTGTACCAGCTGCGGCAGGAAGTTTAAACTGTGAATTTGCAGATTCAATCGTTAGAAAAATTGATGAAGACATATACAGTTGTCACAGTTTCTGACTGTTACATTCATAAGGCCTAGCGTAGATAAAGCTCCGATACCTAAAGTCGAGGTTTCTGCTGTCCACAGTTGTATCACCATATATTGATCATTCAACTAACACTCCTGACAAGCGGAGTGTACACAAAAAATTGCTGATCTTCTGAACTGTTGACGAAAGAAATTCAGTCGATGGACTTATTTTACTGACTTTTTAGTTACACACCTGACATTTTGGAAAATTCACACGAAGAGGATTAATCTTTCAGATATTTTTTTCTTTACTACAATGTAGAAACATATACTACATACAATACTCAATCTCTGAAAAAAATATTGCCCTCCGTACACAGTACGAGATGAAAAAAAGGCTCAACGGGAACAAAAATTATAAAATCTTTGTGAAGAGAATTTGTACTCCATAACTTACTGTCAATACATGACTATCTTGGAAAATGTCATATATCCTTAAAAGAACAATTGTAAATTTACACTAATGTACCGAAAATATCACGATTTACACTTCTTCTCTTTCAAACCTAAAAAGTGAATATGAATAATAAAGTGTAAATGTGAAAACATGTACACTTTATGTTCTATATAAGTACGCTAAAAATATCATTTGTGAAAGAGACAATATGACATTACCCAAGCAATCCACCAAAAAGGTCTTTACGTAACCAAGACAAACGAGGATACTTCCCCAAGCATCTACCTGTGCAATACTGTTAGTGGATCGCAAACCGAGTATTCTTGCTTGTGTGAATCCATGTTGAAAGAGGAGGAAAGAATCTGAATCTTAATATGATGGTTGACATGGTTAAAGTCGAGCGATTGCAATAAATAATAAAAACTTGATTAAGTTCACCAGTCTCTTACAATGCAATCCACATACATAACAAAAAATTGCTATATACTCAACAACATCATTTTACAAGCTAATGATGTGACTCATCTACCATATAAAAATATGGTAGATTAGTCCCAAGACCATTCCATACGCTGAAAATCCCTAGTAAAAAGAAGACTGTTGCGTAATAATAATAAACAAAAATTACAAATATCTATCCGTGCCTGTGAATCTATTGTATGGTAAACTACAAAAATTTTTACTGAAAAAACTTGAATGTTAGTCTGAAGAATTCTTGAAGTAAACATTGAAAAGGATGCCAACCGCTCCCATGGCCTCATCGATATATTGCAACGATCAACGTCATGACGAATATTGATCTGCTTTTCGCATATACGTCCCAATTGGTCTAGAACATAATTCAGACATAGTTCTCACGTGTATCTTTACATTTGTAAAGTGAAAAGACAATGACGTATCAACTATAATTTTCATGCACTTAAAGGAGGCGATGACATAAAAGAAAAGTGAAACTGTAGCTATCGTAAAGAGAATGACTTCTAACACTCCATCGTGTACAGTCTGCCACACGCAAAACCACAACGCAAGATATTCGTGCTTCACACGCGGAAGTGTTAAAGATGAATTTTCTAAAACCTATTTTTTTTTTTTAAAGTTTAGTTATTTAAACCCTTAAGTTTTCTATCAGTATCAAAAAGTTGTAAACTAGTAAAATCGAATGGATTTTAAGAAGAGAAACTTTGTTCATATAGTATATTTGAATGAAGTTACTCAGACCCAAACAATAACAAATTCCCTAACATCTTCACATGCAAATCTCCTTGTGTAGGTAAAATTACTTCATTCACTTTCACTGTTTGGCAAAATTTCAGAAATTGACAATCAGATAATATAATACATTCAAAATAAACGGAAATGGAGTTTCGTTTAAATAATTGTTTATAATATGTATGAATCTCCCCCAGGTAATAAAGCTTAGTGAAATAATTTTATTAATTCATTATATTGTCGGTGAATACATTGAGACTAAAGTTAACTCACCGATATTTTTTCAGCTATGCTTTTTAACGTGCATAACATTTATTTTGTCCCATGCCTTGTTTTGTTTTTGGGTAAGTATTGCACTCTACGCGATGTTCAGACTTTTGTATATATATCGTATAATTTCAAATACAATAATGTAAAGAGAGTTCCAAAATGGCACATATTCGTCAAACCGATGACTGATAAAAGTTCAATTCAATCGTCTTATCTTCTATGGTCTATAAAACATCATGTCGGAGAAATCTGAGATGATTTTTACAAACTAATTGACGTGTTGTTTCACATTTTACATTCTTTCGCGTGGTGCTGGAGATTTTTAACTTGAGCGTGGAATTTACATTCATAAACCGAAGCTTGGTTAAACAATTACACAAGTCTCTTCACAAGTATCTCACTTTCATACACGTTTCCTTAAGCCTAGTTTAAAATTCATTGTCATCAATTTATTCGAAAAATTCTGGACAAGTGACATTAATCTTTATTTATCGTAAAGTTGAAGGCAATATGTTAAGAGCCAATGCAAGATCGTCATGTGGGTCGCGATTGTCTGACCAGGCCCTCACCAACTGGCCTCGTCATGCGGCGATGGGAAACCGATTGTCAAAACATTCTCTACATATGCACAAGATTTTTGTAGCCATGAACTACTTCATCTCCCGCACATGTCAAACGTTGTAGATGAAGTGTACTGACCTTCGAGGTGGATTTCGTCTGGCCTCGTTGGCGTCTGGTTTGTCACGTTCCCGTTGGTGTACTAATCCCTTTCATCGTACGCATCCTCTGTCTTCTCTAATTCATATTTCAAACTCTGACTTGTTTCGATCCTTAATATTGTCCCAAAATTATACACTTTTAAGTAAGTCCCTCATATCGTCCCTCGTGAAGAAATACGATCTGTTTGCCATTGGCGAGATTCCTTCAATAAACAGCGCAAAATCTGCAGGTATTGGAATTGTAGGCAGACAGAGCAGAGCACAGCTACTCTGCCCTGATACAACATTTGCAAGTGAGCGTGGAGAAGTGGAAAAATGAGCCTTCGATTTATGTTGTATAGTTATGTACAATTGGGACATGAGGGTGTTCACGATCCCACGAGGAGCCTGCGGAGACAACCGCCTCGGCAAAGGCGGCACGAGTGAGAGTCGTAGTGGACGGCCCTGCTCTTGTGTTCTGATCGGCTCCGAGTGCTACACCAGTTCCTACGAGCAGTCTCTCTCTCTCTCTGTCTGTCACTGCAACGACATGAAACCCCACGACGTCTACTCTCTTTTCTAGCACTAGACCTGGCCTCTGGAGAATTACTCGAGATTGTCAGATTTGACGGTCCACCATCTTCTGTACAGTCCGAAACCTTCTCGGCGGCTCGCACACAATTCATCGTCCTCGGCCAGCTCCCGCATCTCCTCGTCGCTGCGCTTCGAGGTGAGCCAAGCACGCGGCTTCAAAGGTGCAGGTGAACCCTAAATATAATGAGTGCAATACCGAACCTCGGAATTTCCCCATCGAGCCTTTCGCCTTTCGATTTCGATCCTGTTCTCGCTCGCTCGCGCGAGCATACTGCAACCTAGATTCCGAGGTCCTGTCACATCAGGCCCCTCTCTAGATCGACGAGGTTCGATCACCACTCGCTCTCTGCTCGGTCCGCGCTGCCCCAAATTCATCTTCTTTCATCCCGCGAGGACGTGGCCGCGCTCGAGGCGATTGACTGCTGCGGAGGACGAACCCTTAGCTTCGGGGACTCGCCTGATCGAGCCATCGTTCAGGAGTAGACCGGGTAAAACAATTGGTACGAGCGATAGCACCACAGCATCACGACGAAGAGCGCGATAAGCCTCGGAATTCCACTCGAATTCTGCATTCTGAGTCCCATCACGCGCGAGCCGGAAGGAACAGATTTCGAGTCTCGATACACGGAGGCCGAGCTGCAGCAGCAGCAACAGCAGCGGCACCGGAATCCCGAGTCTATAAGAGATCGAAAGCGCAGAAGAACACGTGTGACGCACCACTTGTCACCGCCTCACATCATCGACACCCCAATCAGCCCCCCCGCGACGACAGTCAGCTCTGCTCTGATCTGCTCGTCTCGATTCGTCTCGTCTCTTCAGGACTCGGTCGAATCGGGTTTCACCCATCGCCCGATCCGAGCGCGCGAACGAGGGCCTGACGGGTGGTAAGGCCCCTCGACGGCCTGCCACCGCGGCGACCACCCGCGAGTCGGCACGTCAGCGGGAGTCTGAGTCGGAAGTCGCCGGAAGGGGGAAAGCCGAGCGCTGCGCGAGAATCCGGGCCCCTCGAGGCACTTCGGGGTAGTCGCGGTCCGCTTCCGAGTCGCACACGTGGCCCGAGAAAAGTCCAAAGCATGGAGGATAAGGGTCGGTACGACCGGAAGTACAGCTCGCCTCGCGCGTCCGTACGGGATGCAGTTGGTCGATAAATCCGGTGCATGCAGTCGTCGAGGCGCGGGCTATGGATGATTGATGGCTCCATGGGCCATCCATCCATCCATCCATCCATCCAACGCCATCCGTTGCTGCTGCCGAATGTTCTTGCATGCATGGTCCGGTACACCGGCCAGAGGGGGAATAATGCGCGGCCCATGTCCAGTCTAGACGAACGCCCTCGTGAATGGTAAGTGCGACATTCTTCGCTCTCCGATTCGCGGCCAAACCCCGATCCCAAGTCTGACCACGTGTTCTTATCCTCAGGGCCCGTTGAATGCGAGCGCAGAGTTGAAATTTAATCCCCGGCCTGTCGAAGCAGTTTGTCAAATTTCACCTTACTGCGAATTTGCTATAAATTAGCGAGTTCGCAGTTCGCCGAGAATATGCTTCTAAATGCAAGTCGAAGAATGTCCTCGCGTCCATTTGTGCTTGGAGCTCAATTTCTAATCATCTGTTGGAACATCTTCGCAAATACGAGATTAAAATCAATCCGTAATTATTCCGGTGACGAAATTAAAAAGCAAAATGGTGACTAGCTTCCTGCTTCAGCATTTATTACTGACGATCCCATGAATTCACGGTGTTTGTCGTTCCTGCATGTGTAGGCCATGGCGCCGCCTGGATACACTGTCGGCTCATTTTGTCTTCGAACCTTAAAACTGTTGGAATACGATTGCAGTTCTCAAAGCTACCGGTCAGCGAATGTGTCAAGGAGCTTGCCCGCATTTGTTGCCTTGTTTGGATCCTTCTCATATTCCCAATTAAAACTCGCACAATGAACATTTTGTAGGGATAGGCACGTAGCCGGCTAGCCGATACAAACGGCTAGCCGGCTGGGCCTGGAATTTAGCCGGCTAGCCGTCGGCTAATCGGGTATCGGGTGAAAATGCAATCAGCCGAAATATTCGGTTGAAATGAATGTATATTGAATAATTTCGGCCGAATCTAAGGAAATAATCGGCCGAAAACGTAAATTCGACCCGAGTTTACGGTTCGTTTTCGGCCTCGGATAGAGGTGGCAATATTTATCGGCGAGCTGTCGGCTAATCGGCGAACAGAAAGTATTAGCCGACTAGCCATTAGCCGAGCCGTGCCCATCCCTAACATTTTGAGACTCGTTATACTTTAATGGTAGCAGGGAGTGTGAGCATGAATCGTCGGAACTAGCCCAACCTACGTGACTGAAAAGGCATTGAGTTATTGAGCGCCGTGACATTCAAAAGCAAATATTGTGCGCTTGAATCTGCAAGCTGGATGATTGCCGAACGTTTGTAAATCCATCGAGTAGATGAAAGAATTTAATTCTTGATTTCTTTCCATGTTAAATAGATTGTAAAAGGTATTGCCATCAACGCCAGTTTGCCTCACTACTAAATTTGTACAAAGGGATCAGATACTTCTACTCCTCCTCCTCCTCGGGTGCAGGAGCTTGTACAGATACTCACTCCTCTTTGAGATGTAGAAACTCTGGAGTGTAATGAAGAACAGGAAATCTGTCGTGAATCAATGAAGCCCTGGCTAATTTTATCTCTGAGACTCTGATTCCAAACTGAAGATGGGTGGGGGTGCCCTGGTTCAAATTGGGGCCTGGTTTCGAATGATAGTAGTCGAAAATACTGTCAGAAGAAATTGGCTGAAAGAACAGCGGATGTAGGACTGGAGGTCATGGGACCCAGGGGACAAAGAGTTTCACTTTGCCGTTGCAATGATGGCAGCCACAACTCCAGCGGCGATGAGCATGACAGACACCCCGGCGCACATCCAGAGCCGGTTTTTCCTCTGATGAGTCTTGGCGACCTGCAGATGCACAGCAGCTCGTTTGGTGTAGGAATCTGCTCGTTCGACGTTGGTCTGGATGTCATTCACGAGTGCCCCTTGTGCCTCGACGAGCACCGAGAGGTCCACGAAGATTTGGTTTAGTTCTTGTAGATTCCTCTCGATGTCCTTGACAGCCTCGTGCTGCTCTTGGATATCGCGCAGACTGTCGATCACTTCACCCTTGCCCTGCTCTTGTATGGCTCTCTGGATGAAGGTCTCGCTCTCTCCGCTCTCGACCATGCGATCGATCGTGGTCTCATCGGCCCTCTGGCCTGTGACTGTGTAGTAGCTCCGTCCGATGATTTCGCGGTACTCTCCGACGATCCTGGTGCGCAAAGTGCCGAAATCATGCATCAAATCCTTCAGCGATTCCGTCAAGCTGTTAGTGAGCTGGATCCTCGTCCGATCGGTGGAGCTGCCTTTCTCGCACCCTTTGATCTCGCGACTGGCAGCGTTGCTTTTGTTGAGATCCTCCAGGCCCTGCTTTATGAGTCTGGAGGTCTTGGTCACCTCGCCGATGTCTTCGTTGATCCGATCTCTCAGCTCTTGTAGGGCCGGTGTGTGCCGTGCAGTTTTGCTCTCCTCGTGTGCGTCCTGCAATTTTGTCAGAAGATCTCGGACTCTTGCCATTTCCTTCTTGAGCGTATCGACCTCCTGAAAGAAGCCTGACAGCTCATCCCCTGCTTCCGAACTTGTGCCTTCCTCCATTGCAAACGCTGCGGGTCCTCTCTCGACATCATCTGGTACGACATCTCGTCTGGAGAACACTCTTGCCAGCAGATCGTTCATGACTGCTAAGCACAGAGTCGCAGTTTCATCGTAGAATTCGGCAACCGGAAATCCTTGGAAAAGTATTGCAGACTTGTTGTGGGTCTCAAGAACTTCTCAGAGGACTTGGATCTTCGTCGGCAGAAGGGAACCTCGAACCTGGAGAAAATCATCTGTCAGTTACTTGACGACGATTGACAGCCTCAAAGCTGATGCACAATGTTATAGAAGACAACGAATTTCTCTGATCCTGTCAGATCCTGAGCTGCACTTACTTCTGCATGAGCTGAAATTCCTTTTAAGTAGTCGGACATCATCTCGATTATCGATTATGATTCCAAGCCTTTAATTAGTTAAAACTTGAATCCAGTGAAAAAAATATTGTTTTGATTCTCTATATGAGAAAGCATTCGCAGAAAAGAAGTCAAGTTTCAAATCTCATTTTCCATGCAGAAGAAACACCCAAGCGTGTCCTGGTACCTGTAAAATTCTTCGAAAAATACAACTGTTTTTGCTGGTCGGAGCAAATATAAATTGTTCTCGTCCCGACGGACGATTCAAATCGGAGAGAAAGATGCGATGAAACTGCTCCTATGCTCCCAAAGGCTATTTTTATTCGTTCCAGCAATGAATCATCGAGAACTGACAACTTCGTAAACGAGAAGCTAAAGAGTTTCAAACCTCAAACTGATGAGACGCATAGCATGTACCTTGCACTTTCATTAAAGCTGAGACACTACATCGTCAATCTCTCTGTTCGTATTCGCCATAAATACATTCAACCACAAGGAAGACAATATACACTTGCAAGGATACTGGAGAAGGACCGCAACATTGAAGCCTGATATAGAGGAACTCAAGTCATGTATTCGAAAGGAACTGAGAGTTCTCGTGACAGAAGCCAACTAGCTTGAAACCAAAGAAAGACAAAGGCTTTCAACTCTAAGAACGAAGAATGCTGAAGCCACCTTAATCTTGTCAACAGCGTGCTCATCTGTCACACTCTCTAGAGTTAGAAGACCAAATCGACCGACGATCATTTCTCCCACCACACTGCATTTGATTTTGCTTATTATACCTCACCAACCATGGTCAATAAGTTTTAACATATAATGAGTGATCAGCTGATATACATCATCACGAATTATTTTCCTCTCTGGTAGGTCATCTGTACATTTGAGGAACCAAGCTACCGCTCATTCTCTTCTGTTCTACCCGCTGAGCACTTGAAAGTCGTTGGTTGGTGTTCACAGCATGTCGTTCTGAAAATTGTCGATTTGCACCTGTGCGTGGTGGCCAGCTTGCTTCAGTCCGGAGCTCGAGTCTTGGAGAAAGACACTTGAAAGATCTGTCCTCATCCCTCGGAGTTCGAAATATCCTTGTTACAGATTGATCAAATGCATTTAGTTCCTGCAATGTGCAGAAATCCATCTGGCAACATTATTTGCAACTCAATACAAACATAAACTACTAATGTCCTCTCTCTCTCTCTCTATATATATATGCAAATAACATTTATTTATTATTCTCGAATATTCATTCTTCCTTATATAGTATTTTCAAATCTTGTATGTAATATGTCATTTTGTTTGTTATGTTTTGTCACTCATAACAAAATGCATAGAACTCAAAACTAGGGAAGAAGTTAAAATTTATACAGTTCAAAATCTGACATTTGCTCCCACAACTATGTTGAAGTCATTGTTGATGCACAATAATTATGACCAATGCATTCCATATATTCACAATGATCATAAAAATTTGACATTGTAAACTTTTTGGTTGTTTTGTAATTTAAAAACAATGAAGTAAAAAATCGTCCAGATAATTCACATTTTCAACACTTTATTCAACTGCAAGGTTATAGATCCTAAACTTTAAACAATTGAATGTAGATTGAAATTTAGCAGATATTCTTCATTTCTAAAACAAAATGTATTTATGATTGAAAAACATACTTAGCTTCAATTATGATAGATATATCTTATAAATTTGTTCTTTTAATGATTCAATACTAATTTATTTTATTCAACTATGTATGTATGTTTTTTAAGCAATTTAGAGATCTGAATCACTCATGTTACTTTTACCCGGAGAAAAATAATTTTGGTAGCTTGATAGCTTTCATTCATAATTTTTATTCTACTTTTTTATTATGACCAATTCTGTAGATATGTTAAAGAAGAAAAATTCTTTTGAAATAACTGAGTGATGGATATAATTTTTATTAACTTTAACAGTTTTTAATTAGGATAGATATGCATGTATTGATTAGTTATCTAATCTAATTGGATGTACTAATTTACATGTCACAATGACTAATCAAATTGAAAAAATATGAAAAAATATATCTTAGAATGCAAAACATACCATAAATTTGCATGCAATGTATACAAAAGTAAACATTGCATGCAAATTTAAGGTATATTTATGAAAGTATATTTATATTAAAATTTTCATTTTCATTTAAGATTAATGCATGATAAGTATAAGCATTTCTTCAAAAAAAAATTTTGGTTTATTATAATAATATCACATTTTATGATTTTTTACTTTTATTTATAACTATAGGGAAAATTTTAATATATAAACATAATACTAAATTAATTGTAATAAATTTATTTTTAATTTTTTTAAATTTTTAACTTGATTCTTTGTAATGCTTTAATTTTGATTAAATCCATACATACTTTAGGAAATGATTGCTGAGTTATAAATTTGACTAGAATGTAACATCAATATGTTTAATTTTTTCCAGGAAATAACTTTTTTAATTAAAACCAAATAAAGCAGAAATGATGTAAATTAATTTAACAGAATTTTGCTTTCATGAATTGAATATAAACGATGAGAAAAATTGTAGAAAAATTCCATTCGTAGACCTTAAATAAATTATGCTTAAAAAAATAAAAGATTATTATTATCACTAAACCAAGTAATAAAAAATATTTTATTCATACAAAAATTTCATACATAATACAAGTTAAGCCATTAATACAATTGTATTTCAACATAATTTATATTTCCCATTAGCATGTACATATTTTTATAGTTGTAAATCTTGATGAAGGTTTTACTTTATGTTTATTTCAGATGATATTATTTTTTGGGAAATTTTTTTTAATATTTTTTGAATTCTATATTTTTAAAAATGAAATTTTTTAAGAGATTAAATTTTACGTGCGTCAATGTAAAATTGTATCGACGTGACATATAAATTTTTATTCATTTAATATTAAAACTTGTGAAAGATTGATTTTTAAATGAAAAATATTTGTTTCATGCTTAAAAAATTATTTAAAAGATGTATGCAGCATATTTGATAAGAATACATAGAATCCAAAATCTATAAATCATTGTCATCCTTGTTAAATTGCAAATGACATTTCATTAGCTTCATAGTTTAATGTTGAACAATTATTTTCATCCAATAGCACACTCTTGAACTATATTAGTGTTAGCGTTAACTCAAATTTTGGTTTGAACTTAAGTTATTCTAACTCAATTTAGAGTAAATTTATTTACATTTTAGTTTGAATTGTTATTAGAGATTTTGCTATCATGTATATATAATAGGTCGAGTGACACTTTGTAGATTTTGAACAGTTTGTAGGTTTTTCAAAAAGTAACTTGTTGTTTCTTGAACAGAGCTTGAGAGTGGCAAACCACATATATTCTGGTTAACTTTGTGTGTCTTCAAGGTTATGTTTTTTGAAATTCAATATGTTTTCAATTTTTGGTAGATCAATTGATATTAAAACAAACTTTGTTTTCGAAGAAATGATCCGTTTGTGAGAAAAAAAGTAACTAATGTTGCGCATATTGAGACAATGAGGTTTCAAGAATGAGATTTTTGGCTATTGACACATTACTCGCTTGTTTGTTTGTACATTGTTTGTTAGATGGTTGTTTCAAGGTGTGCAAGCGTTGTAAGAGATTAGCAAGCTTGTTTTGTTTCTTTGCTTGATTCAAGGATGTACAACACTCTATCGCATCCTAAGTGTGAGAACTCTGATTGAGGAAGAAGGTATCATGAACTTGTCAAATGAGCTAAGTGAAAGATTTTGTGGTGCAAATAGTTGTAAAGTTACATATTGACTTGATATGCTTACCAAATATGAATGAGATTTTTAATGATAAGTAATATTTTCCTACTTGTATCCAAAAACTTCTCTTGTTCAAAGTAAATGACTTAATGTGAATCTTAAAGCCATCAAAAGTATTTGAAAACTTGAAGATTGCATTTATTAAGTGTGCAATGATTCTTTTGGTGTTGTATTTGATCAATATAGTCATCTATAATGTTGCATTGAGTAGATGACGTGTTATATATTACGATGTAACATCATGATTAAGACAATGGGAGGATAAAAGATTTTCTAAATGCAAGTACAGATGTATCTTAACAATTAATTGCACAAAAGTTGAGATTAAAGAAAAAAAATTGAAATTGCTTTCAAAGTCGTATTTGGAAACGATGTATCCATCTCAACGCACAACTTCACAAATGCATGAAGCGTCTTTTTAAACAATCTCATGCATCGTTGAAGAAAGTCTTCTTGTTGTGCTGGTTGAGGACCTCCTCCACATGATGCTCACGCCCCTAAACAACGAGCATGTCATGATGTTGGTTCTTTTCCTTGTTTATCATGTTCGTGCTTAAATGCTTGCCCTAATGCGCCACATATTGATACTTCACTTTGCTGAAAAATAAGCAATGACGTATCTTGTCTAAATCTTTTGTGACAAACAAACCATCTTGCTCAACGATTATGATGGAATCAAATCTGTTTATTGTAGCATCCTAAGTGAAACAAGTGTCCAAACCGACTTCAATGTCTAACATCAACTTCCACAACTCTTAGAACTATTGAAACATGACAAACTTTGAAAATTGTATTGAGGAACTACTGATGACAATCCGTTCAAAAATTAAAAATTATGCATTGACTAGTGATGGATATGTATTTAACCAAAGTATTGTACACAAAGTATATTACAATTTAATATATGGCTTCAAAATCCATCTATATTTTACTTTATTACATTTTCACCAAATCAAATTGCAAACTTTTTCAATCTCTTCCAATCCACTAATAATCTTGTCTTGATTTTCCAGTTAGCAAAGTTTGTGCTCACTTTTTCCTTTGTGTCGATTCTCTGTTTGAGATTGCAAAGGTACAACACATGGTTAGCTAAAGAGACGTAGTATCTTTTGTTTCTTCAATTTTTCCTAGCTTTGATCAACTGAGAGATGATTAGACGTGGAGGAGTTTCAAATGATGCTACACAGTTTTTGCTAGAGGCAGTGTCCATGCTTGCACTCATGACGATGCAAATTGATCTATTCAAAGATTGCATTTGACACTGACGTACCGACTGATCGACCAATGCCAAGTGATCCGTATTTGATAAATGAAACATTTGTTTGCTTCAACAATGTACATTTGTCGATGCTACATAATTAGAACTTGTTGCTTAACATATGTATAATACTTAATAATACAAAGATTGTGAACGAGTTTGATGAAAGCTTTGAAAATGATCAGTTGTCCTCTACGATGCTAGACACAACGTGAACAGTATGGCTGATCACGCCCAAATTCTATTAGAATAGAAAAAAAAGTTGAAGTTATGAAAAATCATGAAGTTGTGTCCATGATGATCTTGTAATTGTAAAATTGTTAGAGACTCATTCAATTTGCCACTATTTATTCTGCTGATCGCACGATACTCCGCGGACTAGTGATTCTCATCGAGTTCAAATTTCCGTCTGTTTGAGATCCAGGGAACTCACTAGATTTTAAATAGAATTCAATATACAAAGCTTCAAAAAAATTGATATTTATTTTATTGAATTAAAAAATTAATATTTTGAATTCTCATTTGCATCATAATCTTTACTAAATAGTTCTGAATCAAATTTTTCAAAAGTCATTTCTAGATCTAGTAATGCGAACTCTCTATCCTTAGCTTTTGGCAATCTCCTTCAATTGAGTCTCATATTTCATGACCTATTTGGGGATTCTAACTTTGGCTCTTGTGCTTCATTAACCGCAATTGTGAGAGTTGAAAACTTCTTGAGAAAAGTTTCATTCTACTCTTCTTCATGAGATATCTCTTGTCAATAAAAAACTGCGTCATTGTAGCATATTGCAGTCTGAGCTTTGAGTTTGAAGTTGTCCAACTTGACTCGAGTTGTTGTGCACCCACTTGATAATTTTGTGATTACGCTCTTCAGCGAAAGATACTATAGGAAATTGATGAATTTTAACGAGGACATGAGATAGATATTTAAATTCATTGTTCATATGTATCCAAACTAAATGTGAATGCATAATTTTTAGGTAAAGGCATTGATGCATAATTGAATGCATCTATGCCTTGTTTTTAAATTATTGAATTGTTTTTGAATTTAATTAATTTCACCAAGAGTGCAGATTTTCAAATAGTGCATAAGCTCGAATACATACCAGTTGTTAGAACATCTTCAATCACGTCACCAGGCTTATAATGGAACTGCTGGAAGACGTGTTGCGTAATTTTTCAACATATCATAATACATTATCTAAAGGTTGTCAAACTCTTTATTATGGAAATCTCATTCCGCCCATCACAGATGTGTATTTGTATTCTATGATACACAGACACAAAAGGAATATAAACTCTTGATAATAGATTTTGATACTAGTTGAAAAGTTATCATTTTTTTTTATCATATTTACAAGGCATCCAATCGTATGAGAGGAGTGAGAGTTGTTCGTAAATGAATGTCCCAATGCATACTCAAATCTAGATTCTTCATGCTCCAAAATTATCGCCAATAAAGCTGACAAGACTCGTGAATGGATGTTCCATTGCCTATACATATCTTGATTCTTTATGCTTCAATTGCTTCCAATGAAGCATACAAGATTTGAGAGCATGTCAATTTGTCCATATCCGTCTCACCAAACTCCACACCTTCTGCACTACATAGTCACTTTCATTAACACTATTGCTATCCCCAATGACACCTCTTCCATACCTCATGCTCAAGGTATCTACCAGACTTGTCAGATATAATTTAGAAAAATTTCAATCACAAACGTTGAACTCTTTGTAGCAATACTAAATTATAGCCTATCAATTTCTTTCCGTTTTGAAAGATCAAAAATATTTCTTCATTCCATAATTGCCACAAGTTCTAAAATCTACTCTTATCTTGTTTCTTCCACACTAAGGACCCCCTAATTCAAACAATTAACTTCCGACTAGACTAACAACACTTAATGTTATCTATCTAAATTATGGAGCTTTTAAATCTATTAAGTTATCGACTAATTCAAAGATCTAATTAGTATTAAGATTAATTTTACATGTGTGCATAAAATTGATCTCAAAAAAGATTATAGATCTAAATTTGAATAATCAATGTGGAAAAAAGTAATGCAAATTTTACTCCGTGCTTGAAATGTGAAAAATTTATATCTAGAACATTTTTTTGAAAAAATTAAGACAATGTATAAAATTAAGGTTTTTTGAATATTCTAAACAAATAAAAGATAGTATACTTTAAAAAATGATGCTAAAGATAAGTCAAACATATGTTTGATGTTCAACATTTGTATCTAGATATGGCATCATTTAAGATAGCACAACATTAAAAATCCAAATATATTGATGATATTAAATTTCATTGCAAGTAGTGTAACTTTATTTCAATAATTTTCTCCATGATTGTAATCAATCCTTGAGAGTAAAAAAACAAGAAGAAGTAAAGCCAAGTCTATAAAAAATATACATGAACATCCGCATCGCACAAAAGAAAATAAAACAAACGGCAAAAACAGACCTCTCCACTATGATGCCGCTTGATCAATGTTTAGTACATCATCTGTAATGGATAAAATGGTATTGAATAAAGGAAGGATTTTTGAAGGTTTTCATGGAAAAATATTTCATCAAGTTTGTGAATATGATATTCTTTCATGCAGATCACATTATTTGGATTTATAACCATATCCACATCATACAGGTTGAAACATTTCAAACTCAGGATGATCGATTGAATAAATTTTAATGCTTATGAAACATATGTGGCAAATATTTAATATCAATAAGTGATGAGATATAGAATTATTGCAACAAAATCTATGATTCAACGGTTTAGGATTCATGTGAAAAAAAATCTGTTCATTTTAGTTCTCTCCAAAAAACAAAATGATCATAGATGGCTCAGTAACAAAGCTAAACTCGATACAAATCAGCACATTGGAAGGAAATGATTTGACTTTGAGGAAATTCACTACTTTGACATACCGCGAGAAGGCAAACATGGCTATGTCCTTGCCCTCGTGCTTTGAGTTCCAGTTGCCTTGTGAATTTTGCTATTTCACTTCGTTGGATGGTGTTCGCCATCGAATTTTTATTTCATGCGCAATTTCCCTTGTGGAAATGAACCATCAACGTTTAGTAAAAAGAAATTCTTTTTACTAAACGCGAGAAGAAAATGACAAACTTCAATCTAGAGAAGGAGTGAATGTCCATCCAGGAGCTATAAACTCCCTGAAGCTCAGATCGCACCACGTGCACGAATCGTATCCGTAAAGTGCAGAAGCTCGGAGTTTCGCCCGACAATTACGAAAGCCGAACTGACACGTGGTTCCCCGTGGACTAGTAATGGCCGGGCAAGTATAACCGCAAACTGCGGCCGAAATTGGGACGGTCGGTTTCTCGCTCGCGGTCGAGAACATTGAAGTTGGATGCGGTGCTCGCTGGATTTCGTGCCAGGGCGTCGATCACCGCCGCCCCGTGAGTATGATCACGAGCTAAATTGCAGCAATTCGGTTCTTCTGTCCTTATCATGCGATACCTGGCCTCCACGGTAGTCTGTCGTTCTTTACGCCGCGGAATTCTATTTTGTGTCGCCCTTCTTCTGCGCGTTTTTCTCCGTTCTTGCTTTTGTAGGGCGAATTTTACTAATTTTGTGAGGAGTTTGCGCTTTTTCCTTCCGAGTTTGAGTCTGGCGTCTTGCGTCCCTTCAGTTTGAGGTTTCTCGGCGCTGAGTTGCAGAGCGCGGATTTTCTTCGTCATCGGTTTTATGGATTTTTGTCCTTTTTCGTCATTTTCGTTCGTATAATTAAGGATTCTTTCAGCTTTCTGCAGTTTTTTTTTTCTCTGTTGTTGACGGTTGTGTTTCGAAGAAGGCGGAAGCGTCCATTTTATACGTGTATTTTCTGACCTTCATCTTGTGGGTGGATTTCTTCCTTTTTATTGTGCCTCCCGTTTCGAAATTTTGTTGTGGGAGTTGAATTTGTGGCCGCAAGTGTCGGTTTTGTGTCAGGGAGAGTCGCCTTATCGGAGTTCTTCTAGTGCTTGGGTGGCGTCAATTCTCAGCTTTCTTTAGTGTGAACCGGTGTGGAGGATTCAAAGTCAGTATCTGTGCGTGAATTGCATAGGAGACTTCGATAGATTGTATTCAGTGCATGCCATGAATTGGATTCGGAACGCTCGTGTGAGTGCTCTGTCTAGCGCCTGAATTTTGACACATTTCAAAACCTACACTCTTTTACCTCAAGTTTACCGGTGTCTAGTCAGTATGGGTCTCAATGGGTAGCTTCTTACACCGACAAGCAATAGTCGCTGAGAGCTGGAAATGCTCCGCCCGTAGCCCTCCAAGTTACTCTTGGCTTGTTGAATATGAATTATTCTGGCTGTCTACAAGTCTTACTGTCAATCGTTTGTTTAACGATCTCAGTCTATGGGCGTTCAGATGGGTTCTGGGTCTCAATTGTGAGGACATTATGATTTTGAGATGGTGTGGCTCTGACGGTAGAACTTTCTCTCGTCCACAATGTGTAGATTCCTCGAGCGCGCAGCGCTCTCTGCTGGCGGAAGGGTGCCTGGTCTTCGAACTCACTGAATAGTTATCCTCGCTCGGTGGGTAAAGAGTACATCGGAGGAACGAGTTGTAGATCAGATATGGAAATTGCAGTTGCGCCTGGAGTTAACATTTGTCAAATATTTTCCGGAGGAAGTTTGGGAGCAAGTCATGAACCTGCAAGAAGTCGAGCGAATGTTTCCATTCGACCTGTTGCTTCATCGACAAAGTACAGCTCGTGTGCGCGAGGACCAGTACGCATGTCATGGAGATCTCCACGATCTCAAGTTGTAACCATGAAGGTCCTTTTTTCGAATTTGTCTACCACTGAGTCGGAGAATTTTCCATCCAGTTTGTTGGATAAAGTGAAGATGAGATTAGGTTTCAAGGAGAAGGTTGAAACGCCTGTCACGAAGGAGGAAGTAGATGAAAAAGTCCGTGAAGACAATGAGATGAATCAGGAGATTGGAGGTAAGCTAGAAAGAGAAGTTGCCAGAACTAGGTCGGCGACTCTGGAGAGAGAAAAGGAGGATGACGAAATTGCGTCACTAGAGAGGGATGAAGTACATCCAGAAGTGGTATGGGGACAACAGGAGAAAGATAAGAAGGCAGAAGAAGAAAAGAAGCCAGTGTTGACAAGTCCTGGCTTCAGCTTTTCAGCAGCCGGTCTCTTGTTTCCGTATCACCTGGGAGTGTGCCAATGTTTGATGGAAAATGGCCACCTGACGGTACGTTCAAGCTATTCTTGACTTTCAATTGTTCTCATGATTTAGATTGACAATTTAACCAAACTCTAGTATGAGAGGAACTCTAGCTATCTATAAAGTCGTATTGCAAGTTTGTTCCAGTAGAATACTAATGGTCATAAAAGACATCATGAACGGCTCGAATTTGCCTATTCATCCTTGCGTATGAGCGTGTCATGTACTTGACATCTTGGAAATGTCACTGCATGGAGAGAATACATTCAAGGTTATTCAGAGAGTCTGGGTGTTTCCTAAACATAATTCTGCATAACGAAAGGGAGTTGACACTAACGGGAAAAATTCTTGTTGCTTCCTCTTTCTTTCAGGACACTACTCCACTGGCCGGATCATCAGCTGGGGCACTTGTTTGCGCCGTTGTAGCCGGTGGTGTGTCAATGTCGGATGCTATGCTTGCAACCAAAGAACTTTCTAAAGATTGTCGGGAGAACGGAACAGCTTTCAGACTAGGCGTGAGTTTGTGTGACTGTCTCATCGACACGGACATGCCCCTAAGTTTTTTGAATTCTGAAATTTGTTCGATAACTCGCGTTTTAGTGAGGAAGGCCAGACGGGGCGCGGGTTCTGTTTGCATGTTAGAATCGTCTTTTCTATCATTCTGAAGGTCATTCTAATGACCTGGTTTTTATATAATCTGATAATAGACTGACAGGAAGTAATGTCTTGCCTCTGCAGTCTGTGTTGAGAGTATTTTTGGAGAACTTCTTACCTGAAGATGCACACCTAAGAGTCAGCGGTAGGATCCGAGGTATAAATTGCATCACAGCCAACTGACTGTCTTGCCAAATAAAAAAGAAAATCATGAAGGGTGTTGATTTTATGATGATTATGATTTCATGGCTTTCGTGAATATATTTCTGATCATATTTCTGTTCTTTCTTCAGTTGCAGTTACACAAGTTTTTCGATCTCCGAAGGGTTTGCTTGTTGACAAGTTCGATTCGAAGGAGGACCTTATCAATGCACTTCATACTTCGTGTTTCATTCCAGGGTAATCAGGCGATTTCTTCTCTTTGCCCATTTGAAGCTTTCTTTTTATTTAGGATTTTCGGTCAGGCAGAACCGAAAATGCTCCTGTGACAGTCTCATCTGACAGATCCATCTACTTGTCAGTCTAGCTCACCTCAATCATGATATCTTCTTATTATTCTCTTGGCCGTTCTTACAGATATTTGGCACCGAGACCGGTTACATTATTTCGAAACACTATTTGTGTGGACGGAGGGCTGACGCTTTTCATGCCTCCAACAGCTGCTGAAAAGACGGTAAGTCCTGTCGGTTAGACTCGTACAGGTTTGTACGAGTGCTCGTTTTCGTAGTAGGTTTAAGATAAGTGCTACGCATGCTCGAGATTCTTTCACTTTGATTGGTCAGATATGTATTTGCATATGCAGTTTGAAAGCTTGGTCTGGTGAGGTCTTAAGCTCTCGAACTGGATCTTTATTCATGCACATCTGTACAGGTTAAAGTTTGTCCTTTCTCAGCAGCTGCTTATGGGATTAAAGGTATCGAAATATCTCCGGACTGGAACCCGAAAGAAACAAGAGCTACCAACAGACAGGTAACGTGCCTCGTAGTAAGAGTATATTTAGTGAGAAACGTTCTTGTTAGTTTGTATTTGGAGTTGGCTTAGAGCTGAGAATACTCTCTTGTCATTGAAATTTGGTAACACTCGTTTGGATCTGCAGCTGCTGAGTTGGGCACTTGAACCCGCCGACGATGATGTATTGGACCAACTGTACGAAGTTGGATACGAAGATGCCTCGGTGTATGTCAACAGACTGTCTTCCTTGACCAAATAGGAAGCTTGCGACTTTTCAATCCTCCCTATTCTCTGTAAATAGAAGCTTGTCGACTTTGTCAAGAGACATGCGTACGGAGAAGTACCATAGAAGCCTACCATCATTAGATAATGCTCGTGTAAAACAGCCCCAGCCTAAATGTACAACACAGTCGAGTAGAAGACGAACAACCAGTACATGTGGTTTTATTTCTGACAGCTGCTCAATCGAAGCAGATGCTTGTAACAATTGCAAGGAAAGACAACGGATAGATGTAAGTATTAGAAACATTCTTCTGGTTGGACGTTCTTTAGATTTCCTTACGGTGCCATTGCTACCAAGTTAAGTCCGGAAAGTTCAGAATTGTAATGTCAAGAAGAAAGACAGCGCATTGTTGCGTCTTTGGTTCACCTCTTTTATGGGTTAGTCAAAAGACACGAAGAGCTTCGTTTGCAGCAGTGGATCTTCATTTTAATGACAGAAAAATTCGTCCAAACTCCAGAGGGTCACTGTCTATTCAGATGTTTTATGATATATTCAATTTGCATGTTCACTACTAACTTCGCAGTCTTCAGCAGTATGGTGTATACTTTTTCGAGGATTGCATACACCCTGGTGTTTTCAAAAGTGGTTGAGTGCTTGTTTACGCTATCTCAACCTCGAACTTGTCGCATGAAGAGTTTTAATATCATCGGCATGAGATGGAGCAAGTTTTATTGTTCGTCGGCACCCCGGGCGAGTGTAGTTTAGTGAATCGCGTTGCTCATGCGTTGCTCACGGATTTCTAATGTGTCGGAAGTTGGAGAGGATTTGAAGAGTAACTGCTCTTACCTTGAGACTTATCTGAAAGAATGCGTGATCTTATCTATTTGTCAGTACATTGGAAATGTAATTTGATTGTCAGTTTGTAGGAAGCCAAATTCTATAGCTTCGCAGACACATGTGAATGAACATGCTGTGCACATCTGGCTGTTAGTCATATTGACTAACTACTGACATATTGACGGAACTGGCTTTAAAGGTTCATTATATATATAATTAGATGTTAGATGATCATCGGTCACCACGATGCGAAACTTCATTGGGTTGATAAATATCAACGACAGTTTAAATTCATGCTTGAATACAGCTGCCTTGCTCTCAGTCGTAACAGAGGATGACATTGTATCAAATACCATGTTGAGAAACTCTCGGTAAAACATCATTGTTAGCGTCAATTCCGGCACTTGGTTGGATGTTCAACAATTGCACAAAACTCGTAGCTCATGATGAGGGTGGCAAGCTGTGAAATTAAATCAGAATTGCTGCACCGTATGTGAAACACGATGCACGTGCCAAAACAAAAAGCTAAAACGAGCTTCTATCGTTCTCTTCACTGTATAAATAACAAATTCAATTTGCCAAAACTTTTGACAAACTTCTTCTAAACAGAAGTTTGAACAAGTTTCAACATTTTAGAAATCATTACTGCTGAGACAAAGGCATTTAATTGTGTTATATGCACGACAGAGATTCGATACAATAATCACCCGTGGCTCAAAGTTGTGAAGATGAATTTTCATATTGATGAGCCGCGAATCGTAAATCTCAACTTACATCTCCCTTCGTTGCAAAAAATCCCTGCATCCTCAATTTGAGGAAGGGGGTTGCGATGAATCATCCACAGTTACACATCTACCTAAAAGTGATAAAGTCTTATGCAAACAGTCTATGCGATTGGTTCTGTCTACAAGACTGCAGTTCCTGATCCTCGGTTAGAGTTCACTTTGCCCTGGTGCGATGATCAAATCTGATATAATCACGATGCAGCACGAAAAAGCAGCAACGTAAAGCCACTCATCGACCGACATGTGGCGAGATTCCTTGTTCGCAGTTCAAAACATATCTCTGCAGAAATGATTTTTCCTGATCCAGGCGTGTCCTAGCATGACCGAGAGCAAATGAACCGGCAATTACAGAACAAAACGATGCTGCAAGGAACAGCAATGCTGTGAAGGTATCTCTGATAAGCAGTGTACTCGTAGTGCCCATATGATGTTGGGTGCAGAAAACCCGCAAGTTTGACAGAGAAAACTTAGAACTTCACTTTTGTTCATAATGAGGAATCACCAAGTGTTAGTCGATGGAAAACCTGACGCAATGTGGGTTGACTGACCACATAATCCCTGATTCCAAGTGCTTCTCGCTTCAACTCCAGCTCATTAAGTAGCCTCACAAGACCAAAGAGATCTTGTACTGGCACTCGGAACCTCGCATGTCCACCGATTCCAATACCCTCCACAAGCTCAACAGCATTGTCAACCGTATTAGTAGTTGTAGCTTCGAACTCCACGTCCTCTGAAGAAGGATAAAGAGTCGTTATGAACTCACGGATTTCAGGGATATTTTCGGAGGAGGCCATAACTGACAATGAGTAAGAAGAACCATAGCGGAGCTTCAGCTCCTGTGGTGAAGCTATACATTTGAGCTGTCCGTTTATTATAATGCCAACTCTTGCCCTGCGTGAAAACAATCCAGCAGGTTAATCCACAATCCAACTAACTTGTAACAGGTTAAGTGAGGATTGTTACATAGCCTATGAAACGAAAGATGCATAATATAACTTTGAAGCCATGAAACTCACCCGAGAGCTTCTGCTTCCTCAAAAGACTGAGTGCATATAAGCGTCCCCCGTTGGCCAGATTGGGCTGCAAGATGTTTCCAGACTCGCCTTTTGGTAGCGATATCAGTACCTGTCAGGACATTAAATTCCCACAAGTCAGATCCGTTTCATTCTTACCAATTAAACAATCCCACGGTCTCACCTGAAGACAACACGCATCGTGACCATAGAAACCTGGCCAGAGCGAAAGAATCAGGTACGTGACATTTACCGGCCGAAGGTTCATCCAGAAGCAAAACAGAGGAGCCTCCAATCATTGCCATTCCGATACTAAGTCGTCGACGAACCCCGACATTACATTTCCCAACAACATCGTTGGCAACATCTGCATGTAGTACGTCACGAATTTAGTACGACAACGTCTAAATCTGCAAACATTTTCAACCTCCACTTAGAATCATGATCAACACCGCTGTAAAGAAAATACGCGGTCCGATTAGTCTAAGATACTTTTCAGTGTTTGGTCAAAACTTTTAATGGCAAAATTGCTGTAAAGATTTACCAGTGAGTTGCATAGATTGAAGAGTTGCCTCAATAGCCAAGCTGTGAGGTTCAGGTACTCCCTTCAAAACAGCGAAGAGCTCCAAATGCTCCCTCACAGTCATCGAGTAGTAAACAGCCTACAGAAAAACCATACATATCCACTTATAAAGAATGTAACTAAAGCAATAGAGCACTCTGTTCTCATGCATTCAGCGACAATTCTCTCCGATGGGATAGAGTTTTGTTAATACCTCATATTGAGGACACAGTCCAATGAGCCTTTGTTTGTTGCGATAAGCGTGTCGAACGCTCTCACCATTAATAAGGGCATCTCCAAAAGATATTGGGATTGTCCCGGCGAGCGCATGAATCAGAGATGATTTTCCAGACTTTTGCCCTCCAACCAATGCCACAATCTGTTTCAACACACCGTCCATAAGCACGAGCTTGCAGAATTAAGAAATGAGGCAAACTTTCCCGCATAGATGAACCGGGATTTTCGCGGTATCGAGGACAAAACCCTCTACAAATTCATCTACCTGACTGTGGTGATGAAGTGGTGTATGTATGCAGTGCAATAAAAGGGAAGCTTGATTGATCTCCAGAAAAATAGAAAGATTAAAACAAGGGGAATATAAACTACAAGCTCCCTCCTACTCGATCGATCAGCACAAAACTGAAATCACGATTGCTACTACTTTCTTATCAAAGTGCAAAACATGTGATTGCTCGAGACAGTACCTCCCCTCGTCCCACAGCCAGCCACAGATCACGTATAGCCCAGAATCCGGGAGTTGCTCCTATTCCATAACATGAGCCAGGGTTTCCATCGTAATTCTGCAAAGTAAGGGCGGTTAGATACTTAGAAAGTAGTCAGTCAATATACGGACAAAACACAGATGAAACATCTACTTCAGCCGTTCGGTGAAAGGCATTTCAGCACATGATGGAGACAGATACAGGGAGACGATTGTAGTGAGTTCTGAAGCCCCTAAGTGACTTCTCGAAAGCATATAGATCGTGGAAACAGGTCAATCCACTTTCAGCTTATAAAAATCGTTTTTCGTCCGTTTTGTTATTTCCGATTTGACGTACCTTTCCCAGGTTCTGGCAAAGAATAAGATCCCCTTCTGGGCTATCTCCGCCCATCAAACCCATAGCCTCCCAACGCTCTACATTTGATAGAACGCGCTCCTTCTCGCGATATAGCTCATTGATGCTCTCAACATCTTGGAAACTATCTTCAGTGCCTTCAGCAGTAGGATCTGCGGCTGGTGGCTGCATAGGTTTTGCCTCCGGTTCTATCTCATGAATCTCTAACTGCCATATGCACAGAAGCAGAGGTACAATGGCAACGGCAGCCCCACCGATACTCAGTAAAATATAATTGTTCCACTCAAACGTGTATACTCTTGGAAAGCTGTTCATTGCTGGATCATTTATACCCTTCGTCTCAACAATCGAATTTACAATGAAGTGCAGTCCAGATATTAACGCATATGGAGGATCCACCACATTCAAAAATGAGTGCCAGCTGTAGGAGATATTGTTTCCTGCGAAAAAGTGCGACGATTTAGCCTTCATAATAACCTTTAGGTCTCAAAAGGATGAGTTAGTCTAGGTTATCGTTAGAATGAATGATAACGTAATTGAAGTATCCAATAAGTTTACAATTGTTACACTCTGTTGCATCTTCCGTTATAGTCTAAATGGTCAAGATACTCGGCTCTCACCGGGAGAACCGGGTTCGAATCCCGGTAACGGAGTGAAGCATTGGCCGTTTTTCACAGAATCTTGACAAGAATATTCGTCAAGATTGCCGCGAAAAATGGACAATGCTTCTTTTTTAAAATTGAATTTGAAACAAAATCTCGAAGGACCAGAAGCGCATGTAGGAACCTAAATGGCAGGAGAAATTGGGGCTCTTGATCTGCCTAATTCAATTGATGTCGTACTAAGGGGACACAAAAAAATTTACAAGCATTTTAATTTATACAAGCCAAATATCTAAATAAATACGACCGATACGGAGAAATCCTGATCAGTAGTCCACTGGCTTTTCTAATAAACCAAAAGCGACTAGTTCAATAATTATTTCTTTTTTCTTACAAATTGAAAAATATTTACACGACAGCAAGCTGTCTACCCTGATGTAAAAGATGAGAGGCAAGACATCAGTACCTGGAACGACAAGTATCCAGAAGTATGGCATTAAAGCGGCGAGGATGAAATATATATAAAGCAGAGAGGCAGCTCTGCAAAATACGCACCGATGCTCACTTAACACTGATCTCTTTGCGGGGAAACAAAAATGGCGGCAACTACATTATGCATCGATCATGCAGGACTGCAAGTAAGATGATAACAGTTTGGAAGTTACCCTTGGGCAGTGAGGAAGAAAAAGCTGAGTACGTAACTCAGTAATGCTAAAGCTGGCATAGTAGTCAGAAAAAGGAAGAAGATAGCCAGGTTTGCATCCTGTTCAGTTCATACAGAGAAATCAGCCCTCAATGCAATTTGATACAAAACGACTTTGCTTCAGTTACAAATCTCATCTACAAAGAAACTTCAACCACGAAAAAGCATGTCCAGACCGCAACACATAGAAGTAAAACAAGTTTGAAGTCAAAGTTTATGATATACTAAGAAGGGTTGCAAAGCGTAACTTAATGCTGCACCATAGCACACAAATGGAGAAAAAAAATATGTATATATCTGTCTGCGAGGTATAACGCGTGCATGAAATACACGTAGAAGGAACAAGCATGACAGAACATACAAATGAGAAAAAGCTACGGGCTACAGCGCGGCCTCTTAAAACCTTTACACATGAACGTAGAAAACAAGCAGTTCCCTACCTTATAGAACGGAACGTGCCCAAAAGCCATCCCAATACCAAGAACGAGGAATGAAGATATATAGTACAGACTTAAATCTGACACCACCGTCGCGAACCAGTAGGCAAAGCTTTTCATGCCGCTCACTCGAAACAGACTAAGAAGTCCCAACTGCTTGTCAACCACCACCTGCTTAGACAGCGAATAACCAGTTAATGGGATGCATCCTTATCTTTGTAGCTCAACACAAAATGGTTAGCACAAAATCATATGACCTAGAGAATAAATCACAACGCTACATACAAGTAGTCAACCTTAAACGGTTATCACCTGTCCACAGACTTCATAGGAACAATAAAATAAGAAGAATAATTCCTACATTATTCTGTAACCATGTCGTGATTCCAACAGGACTAAGACTCATTCATGGATGAGATGTAAACCTGAGCACCAAGTACAGGTGGAACAACTAGTAGACCGATCGACATGAGCATGATAACCAGAAAATCAGCAGCACTTCGCAAGCTTGCCACCGATAGCGGATGATTTTCCACATGAACTGAAACCGGGTTAAAGAGGCTTTCATTGGCAGGTCTGTTCAGCCTTAGAGAGTGAAGCAAGGAATTATCCACCATTGCCACCACCGTCGGAAGCTCGTGAATATGAGAAGGCTGATAGAACACAGTATATTCCACTGTACAACCTGCAAGAGGAGATACTTATTATTATCAAAAATTATTGTCGTGTAAATGAACAGAAAGAGTATCTCTTCTCCCGAGAAAAAAGTTTCAATTCTAGACAGAACATAAATGAGCAAACAACATCACAAGCAGAATGACTACTAAGATTGCTATCTTTTGTAAGATGCACGAACTGCAGTCTAGGAGCTGTAAGTTATACCTGCGTCAAACGATACATATCTAGATAGTTACACTTGATTCCTTTCGGATGCTAAATCAATCCTAAAGCCGCAAAATTTGACGTTGACTTAAACCATGAAATAGTTTCGGTCCAGAAAAATGACAGTAGCTAGGGAGTTACTTTGAAAGAGTACTTCTTCATACACCTAACAGCAAAATATCCAGAAAACAATCAGACTTTCAATCATAAATATTGCCGACATATAAAGGTCTCAAACTTTTGATGGTGGAGTACTTACTTTGTAGATCTAATTGATCAAATGAGATTCCGATTGCATCCAGGCCACCATCGCCTCGACTGATTCCATCAATGTCAAAGCGACTGAGAAGAGCTGATTGGTTTAGAAGTCTATTATTTGGGCCCAGATAATTCAACAAATTCTCGGCTTCAACAGTGGCGCTGCTGTTAGCCACCGAGTAAAGTACTGGCACAGAATTTCCGAATTTTGAATTCTCCAAAGGCAATCTCATGGTGTCATATTGACCTATGAGAGTCTGCGCCATGAGGACTCCTAACGTTATCACCTGATGAAAATGCAACAATCACTTCAATCGCGCTTTGATCCCATCTGTCAGGTACTGACTTGCCTCCTCTTTAGAAACAGAACTATCTTTGCACCATTGAACAGCAATTGTAAGTACATGGTTGCTAAGAAGTCAATACGCAGGCGATCACAGCTTTCAGGTTGTAAATCTTCATGTTACTTCGGGAGAGCGATTTCAGCCTTTTTGGACTTTGATATAACTACAGGTCACAGGATGTCAAAAAAACGTTGACTTTCTCGTAACAAAGTTCTTAAAAGTATATAGCCTGTAAATGAACTTAATAGCAATAAGTTTACTATCTCACATTTAAAACAACAATAAGCTTTCATCTTTCCTGTAGCATCTGTGAAATATTGTTTGAATTACTGAATACTTTTTTTAAAACCACGGAGCTCAATAGTAGCCAGCGGCTGTCCCTTACCACTGGTAATCCAAAAGTAACGAGAACTGCGACCAAGTTGCGTCTGATACAAACATAACAAAAAACATAATCAGTATTTTATACGAAGATGATGTGGAGCACAAGCAGCTCAGAAGGCATTCACAAGTTTATAGGCTGAAATAGGGATCAAGACCTTGTGATTACCATGCTGAACCGAACTGCAAGAATACATCTGTGTTTTGTTTATCCTTACATCAGGTTAACCATCTTGGAGACGTGGACAACTTCGAACAATGGTCTGTAATTTACTCACTCCGTCTAAATAGAAGATACTCATTTCATATCAAATTGAGACAGATCCCAAATTTTCTAAACTTAACAAAATGTCTCGTTACTAACCTGTAAAGAGCCAACCGAGATCGCATCATTGCAACAATTTGTCCCCTCAACTGCGGCTTTCTAAACTTGCTCATGGAGTCATCCCCAACATGAGAGTCGTTACTTGTAAGAAGAGCTTCTTCTTCCATTTCTTCACTTGATTCAGCACCCCACGTGTGCAAAGAACTTGCATCATGAACAGTAACTGCTCCCGCCGCCTCCTCATCTTCATCTGAGATGCAAAGAGATCAAATGTAAAACCACTTAGAACTCTTCAAGAGAATACTGACTGCACTGAAAGAAACTCACTCAAAAAGCAGAAATGTACTTCAAATCATACGCACCATGAAACTGCATGAAAACTTCTTCCAGAGTGGTTGCTTCAAGAGCTCCTCCCTCTATACCAAGCTCCGCGGCATTTCTGTAGTAAACCCAAGTTGTATATGATTCTCTTGGTGGCTTTAGCAGAAAATATCACAAACGTCCAGAATGGAGATACATTTTACCAGATGACTATTTGTAGGCAATCCAAGGAAACCAAAACTATGTCAAGATTCTGAATGACGCATAGTACATCGACCCATCGCCCTTGTCCGAAGAATCACGTACGTGGTTAACTGTGTCATCAATGAGCTGGTCTCCGCAGGAAATCCGAGCGGAAGCTTGTAAGTTGAGTGCGCCTGTCCTCTTGCAGTGGGAACTACTGTAACATTTGGTATGTGCGACTCGATTAACCTCAATATGGCTCCTGCATTGTAGGTCTCTCCCTTCGTGATATGAAGCAAATAACTCAAACCTATACAAACGAAGTTGAAAGGAGGTTTAGAAGGCAATGGCAATAATCAAGACGAATAAGTCATCAACGCATTAAAAATATCCTTGCTATCAAAGATAAGACTTAGCATTTGTCGCACAACTTGCTGCAAAACAATCAACTTAGAACTGCAATCACTGCATGCATTGCATCATGGATGGCGGATGTTCGTGTATCAAACCAATCAAGCGCTGATCAGAATTAGATACAAAGGGCCGTACTTGTTAGACTGAGCGGATGCAGCTACCCTCGACTAGCAGTATCTACTCTACCTGAAACTTGACGAGCTAATTCAAAACATTTGATTGTCTGGATGAATGAACAAAATTTAGATCCACAGGTTAGTCCATACGACCCAAATGTATGACATACAGGGTAAACGTCTCATGCACAGTCTGAAATGTGAAGACCTGTCTAGGCAAAGCATAACTTCCGACAATTGGGACATTTACCAAAACGGTTTCGCAAGAACAGGGAACTCCCACAGCACTTCAATACACCATGTGATAAAATTGCTTTACGATCAGCCACCATATCCGCCTCTTCCATAGAATCTGTTGTGAATATAAAGACTCGCCCCTTCTGATGTTTCTTCACCATATCCCAGAATATCTTTCTGGATTCTGCATCCATGTTTGCTGTAGGTTGATCCATGATGACAACCTGTTGTCCGATAAACCAATAGGACAATATGAAACTGTCTCCCATGGGGTTCACATAAACAGCTGGCACCTTGTGCCCCTTTTGAGCATCTCCGAATAAGGATTGGAACGTACATCTGCCCAGCTGCATTAAAATACTAAAAAACAACAGAAAGAGCAAAAAGCGAGAAAATATATCCGATTGAGATATAATACAAAGAGGGTGGATGTACCTGCGGATCTCCTATCATAGCTATTGCAAGACTGAGTCTGCGCTTTGCAGAAGCGGTTAGTTCCATGGCCTGTGTCTCAGCCTGATCTAGAAGATGCAACTCCTGCAATAAATCCTCTGTTCTTTCTGCGGTGGATTTGTTGGACTCCTTGCTCTGATCAAAAGCGTCCTCTCCCAAGTGAAGAGATTGTCCTTTGATTGAGGCGAAGTACTTGAGCTGCAGTGGGAAGTGCACGAATACGATAAAGTGAGTCCTGTACTACTGTTGGCATCACAGACCGACGAAGTGGGACGCTCGAATATTCAAACAAAAGCTGTTACTTATAATGAAGTTCATTCGTAAATTCTTTGAGCCCAAATGCACATATTTCCATCTCTTTCGTCACTTAGTAATAAGCAAATAAAATCCCTTCCTTTCAACTATCTGAGAACCATCACACAACCACTTAGCGTCAGCTTAACGTAAACTCAAGCGTACATATATTCCGTTATGCATGTTCGGCCTGAAATTGCTCTTCCATTATAGCACTCATACGTCAAGTGTATTTTGATTCTCAGTCTTAGCTTATAGATTATCTCTCAAACTGACGGTATTATTCCTAGATACATTTCCACCTCAGGCCACAACGTAAAGATAGGTTCCAAGAGTTTCGTTCAGAACCACGCGGGAAGTCTATATTATCAGTGCACATAACTTGATGGACCTGTCCAAGAACGGTTACCGGACAATTTGATCATAAATTTTAATCTTATATATAAAGACCACAATACCAGGCTCATAAGTATGTCGAAGTAGCTGGGTAAGAGCCAGTACCCCTCATCACGAGTTTCTATGATACTCCACAATTTTCATGGAAAATTCAAGGCGATTTGTTGGGGGGCCTCTATTGGCTCGTTTTAAGTGCTCACTCCCCCATCCTTGACATCCGAACATCCAATGTGCAGTAAAATATCCAACGGAGAGGCCAGTGAAGGGAAACAGAATGCAGTTATGCCATTTGAAATGAAGGCATATGTGAAACAGAAGATCTAGGAGAAAAAAATTCAGACGTGAAGATTTACCTGCTCACGGACAGTGAGAAGATCGAGGATGATGTCTTCTTGAGGGCAGAATCCCACTAAAGAACGCAGCTCTGAACCTGAAATAAGTATGAGATGACCTGGTGAGTAATCAAAAAAAGAGATGAAGAGCGCAAACATTGGGTCATATCGGCGTTGGTGCGTACTGCAATATGGATAACAAAAGAAGACAAACGTATCTGCTACTTAAAAACTGGGAGTTGCTTTGCAGTCTCGTTTACCTCCATCGCTTATTGGAAGGCCATATATGAAAGCTTCACCGGATGTTCGCTGTGACAACCCCGCCAACATCGAAACGAGCGCCGACTTCCCAGACCTGCTGTGGCCCTGCGGCAAACATGAACATCACATCTCAATTTCAGCAACCAGAACAATGAACTGCCCTTCCTAAGCGACAGGCTTCTCACGACCATGTACTGGTAGAACTAAGGCGTAGAAGAAGAGTAACTCACAACAAAAGCAAATAGTTGCCCTTCGTATAGATTTAGATTTAGGCCTTTGATAACTTCTGATTCTCGCTTCCACTGCTGTCTGGATGCCTGTCCTCTTCCTCCTTCAATATCCCAAAACTGCCACCATTTCTTCTTACTGTGATAAGCTTTCTTCAATTCTTTGCAAATTATTGCTGCTTTGCGGGCTAGTTCTGGTTCTACAGGCTCCATGTTTGGGTCATCTTCTTGGACAGGTTGTCTTGGATCAACTGCAAATTGTGAACAAGACAACTGTAATTAATGCTAAATAGAGCTACTGTACATTCTACCTTCCCAAGCGGATAACTCAGTTCTTAGTCGCATCTTACAGAAGGCTAGAGCCTGTTCCAGACCTCTAATTACAGACTAAGCTGACTACACGCTGACCAAACTTATAGCATTGGCAACTTTAGATAAACTTCCGAAAAGTAGTTACCGTCCAGAGTTACGTCACTGGGAGTGCCAACAACGAAGCTTGCTTCATCCAACTGAAACTGGGAAACAAAGCCAGACTGCAATACCATGTCCATCAAATTAGCAAAACTGATCATTTACAGTCAGAAAAAAGGTTACGGGCAACTTGAAACATTCTGTATTGATATCAAAGATAAGCAGGCTTAGGTATCTCTATTATCATGAAACCTAAAATCGTCGCAAGCCAGCACACAGCATAGGTTCACTCACTCTCATCCCTTACATTTTCTTGTGGTGCAAGCATATATGAGGCTCCCGCCCGAGAAGGAAACCAGTAGTGTGCAGTGAAGCAAAATCTCCAGTGTCTCTTAGGACCTCTTTCTGGATGTGGCCATGTGTTGTCCAAATACCTGTTTCGACAAAAAAAAAAAGACTAAAATTCAGAGTATGATTGCCTTTAGAATGTTAATTTGCATTTCCTGTCAGAAGTTCCACACATAGTTAAGATGAGGAACCTGAACGGGCTAGGTAAACTTAAAGGCAAACTGGAGCATTTGACGATAGGTAAGCACATTCGCACAAATAATGTCAAATACATACCAAGCTATGACTCCATAAATAATCGCATCTCCAATAAATATGCAGACGAGGGCACCCATGCTCAACGGACTGGTTCCTTTTGCCTGCCAATCCAGTTCGGAAATTAAAATATAGTCAATGGTAGAAAATTATGCAAGGCAAAAACTTCCACTAGCTGAAGAGGAGAACAGAAGCAGTTGACAGAAGCATTCTTGATAAAATGTCGGCATACTTTCAACATGCATGACAAAGAACAAGACATGATTTCCAAGCAACTGTGAGATGTAGATGAGTTTCGTGGGCAACCGTAGACCAGAAGTTATAGAAAGTTATCCCTTGTCCACGACCTTCCGCTCGCACTATCACATCCACTGCTAGGGCAAGTCCGATGGGGGACATCAAGGACAAGAATGCGCAAATTCCTGTTGTCCACTGAAGCAAGTCGATGGGAATGATGACAATGCTACAGCACAATATGAGCAACCCTGAGAACGACGTTGCCGACTGAACCTGTAATTGAATCCAGAAGGCAGTTAAATTTCACCCCAGCCATGAGAACATGATCGTCAAACCATTACAACGAAATAGCAACGCTATGAGCATACCAAAATCTAGTTCTGCGTGCCTAACAGCCTACATTTACTCAAGATGTGGCTAAACTTATAATTTGCTTTATCTTCTTTCATGTAAAAAAATAAGATTCAGTATTACATTAGAATTTCACACCGGCCTCGTCACTGTCGACATGTTGACACCTTCCTTGCCGGTGAGAAACTGACTTTTTACTCACAATTACTTATTACGTGCCCAGAGAGGAAACACACCACTTAAGCCATAGTAAAAAGCATATAGCTTTGAAAAAAAATCTATGTCACAACCGGCTTAATCTTTGGCCTACCTACCTTTGTGAAAACTGTGCTCAAGGCAAATGCCATGGTGATAAGCGACAAAGTGTAAGGATAGATTATGAGAAAGAGCATCCCCATGCTGGTGTATTCAAACAGTGTGGTCCACTTAGCGGTCATCACCTACACAACAATGGAAACAAGTTCAACTACACATGAATGTCTATGCGTTCTATCAACTTACAGCATTGACCATAAGAACATGTTCTACTGAGGCGGCTCCATTGTCACCCACTGAAGTTGCTTAGAACAGCAACGATAGCATCAGTATAGAGTAGCATGTAAGTCAAAGGTATTCAATGGGAACACGATTGGAAACTCACAAGAATGAGAGTAGTCACAGCGGACATAAGAGCATATGTAATGAGCCATGAGAGCCAGTAAACAGACTCTCTCAATCCCATTAGCAGCATACAGTCCTGCATTGGCAAAAAAGAAGTCAAAACCACCGTCACCTCCATGACTGCCATAAAGGAGCGCCTACAGGAGCAATATTATCAGGAGAATGATCACAGGTTACATACAAACAAGTCTCACAAGTATACAGGCTAGTTTGTCACTTGATAGTAGGAAATCTACAACCTCGATACATAAAACACTATAATTCAATTTTTCAATTAGGAACTCTGTATAAAGCTGAGCTCCTGGCTCAGCATGAACGCTGGCGATATGCTTCAAACATGCTAGTCGATCATTGTGTCCAACCTTACGAGTGAAGGTTGCATTCGGAGCTCTAACCTAAAGACCGTTCTTATGAAGAAGCATATGATTGAGAAGCATATCACTCTGCCAAATTTCTTTGTTCTCTATCACTTCCCGCACCAACATGTGGGCAGATATTACCTTCACCAAACTTTGCTTTTCTTGGACGATGTGAGTGAGGGTTGTTTGCAGCACTGGGGAGAGGGCCAAGACCATGTACAAGGCAGTGAAGAGTTGAAACTCCAGTGAAGCAAAAGATCTATGATAAGCAGGCAATGCCTGCTGCTGCACGAAAGTTGTTTTCGCTTTCTTCTCAGGACATTCCGGCACCGCTGTTGCTCTCAAAACTTCTGAAACAACACTTTGTAGCGCCAGAAAGCCTGACAAAGACAACCCATGCTCAGGTCAAACACCGAACCTCCATATGCAGACGGTCAAGTACAGTAGAAATCTGAATGCACTTTACTAACATGTTAAAATTCGTCTTCACAAACAAGACGATCGTCATGAAGTATGAGGGCTGCTAATCACACTTAGAGAGATTTTTCGAATTTATTGAGCACCATTGAAAGGCAGACAAAACTGATTTCTCCCGTGGTTCCTTCCCACTGATTCCCTTAAGCACATGCCATAATTTTCAAATAGGAGAACATACCTGAATTAAGATAGCCATTAGCATCACAAATATATCCATCCAATTGACAGTCCTCCTTGTTTCCTATAGTTTTCGACGTCGATGGGAGGTAGGAACCTGCGTGTGCGAAAATAGCTTATGTATCAAGACATGTCTTCAATACAAAAGGTTATATACAGCAATGGATCTCCATGAACTTGCAATGTTCCGCCGCTTATAGCAACCGTGGACATGTGTTGAGTCACTACCGTTAATCCTGATGGTGTAGTGAAGGTCTTGCGGAAGATCTTGTTCAGTTCGCATTTTAGGGTCATCGAACACAAGAGCGGCAAATATCATCTGCGATCCAAACGCAGTCACAAACACTAATACAATGAGCTTGAGATTAAGTACATCAAAACGAAAAAACAGAAGCGTTTAAAATCTTCTTAAGCATTGTCATGTTACATTTCTCGTTATGCATCAAAATCTCGTTATGTTATATTAACGATGCTATGCTATCATTCGATTGATTCGAAGAGATTCGCAGCACATGAACTATGCTATGCTCGACGTTCAGAGGCGAAGAGGGCGGGCGGCCTAGAGCATTGTCTTACTTGTGGATGTGAATAGTAAAAGTCAAGCATATCATCTTCATTGTCGAAACCTTTAGGCGACAGAGCAGGACCCTCAAAACTGCACATCTCAAACAAAGTTCCAAGATGCACGATCTTGATGAGTAGCACTCTAGAAAGTATTGTAAAGACTACTGTTTCCGCATTTTAAGTTTCCACGATTTCGAAACAGAAGATTATTTCAAACTAATCTTGATAAATTCCCCATGAATTCCAAATCTCTGAGTCAAATAGAAGATTGTCTCTCTTCGAAAAGCCTTGGCTACATGTTTGATCCAATCAGAGACTAAAAGACATCAATAAAACTTGAGGACTGCTTGATACTTCAAGACAAACATAAGCATGATATGTAAGAACCCATTTTTACAAGAAGATTAATGAAGAGGTCACTCCAGTGTGTCCAATAACCTTCATAAGTCAATCGTAATAAGTGTTGATCTTATGTTGGCATTTAGCATTGTCCTACTCTTTTCCTTCTTTCCTGCTCCCGAAACTAAATTTGTATGCAAAGTAGACTATTGTCATCTTGGTAATACTTACATTCTAAATATTCCTTATATTCTTTTCACTCAATTACATCATAGTTACAGAACTCCATGGATAACATACATTTTGTAAGTTCGAAGTAACGCATATGGTTTTACTAACAGCAAATACGAAAAAGCATATGGAACAACAAACTCACTGCAGTCCAAATTGCTGAGTCACTTCCATCACCAATTTGCTAACCGCTGCATTCTCCTGAGGCACATAGGCAAGCTTTGCACAAGACCAGGTTTAAAAAAATATTAGCGATTCGGATTTAATGTATTGCTCAAGGCATACATGCTTCTCAACGATTCTCTCAATTGTCTAATAGACGAAGATTGATTTGACAGCTAGCTATTCTAAAAACGTGACTGTTCCAATATAACATTCAGACGATTCTTTCATCACAACGACACGACACAGCAACACGAGTAGAGGTCTTTTTGTGAGTTGTTTCGTTGAAAACGAAAATAAGAACACAATAATTCGCAGAACAATTTGCTCACCACAGTTTCCTCTGAGGGGCGGCTTGGGAGGTCCAAGCATACGCCACCAATTCCATTTGTAGATTCGGCAGGTACACAAAAGGGATCGACCTTTGGTTCCAAAGGAGATGCAGGTATGTCCAGCTGCCTATAATCATTTATAACACGCACGGATATTATGACTTCATATGCACAACAAAGCTCCCTAAAAATTCGATTTCATGAAGTAATATAATCGTAGGTTCACATGATATTCTAGTTTCCGTATTCATCCTACCTTGACCAAGAAGTCTCGAATCTCAAGACTTTATCGTTCATAACAAACCAAATTCGAAGCAAAAGTGTTACTTCTAAACCCACAACATGCAGAAGTGATCACTTACGGTTCTAAAAGTTTGACAACAACCAGTAGCGTGATAATATATATCTGCACAGCCAACAAGAACAAATCTCCGAGATGAGAACCTTTCGGTAACAAAGTTGATCATAGCGAAGGTAAACAGTTGAAGAATTAACGTTCACCGAAATGCCTATCCATACGAGCCAAAAGTAGTAGTGGACAATAGTCAATTCCACATGTTCCAAATCAAGTCCTCAGCCTTTGAGCATCGCGCGAAGCTCAACCCAAAGTTATGTGAGCAAGATGTGAGAGCTCGTGAGGATTTGTTCGTGCAAACAAGAAATATTTAGAGCCCTCCTGCTACAAGCTTTGGCCTGAACAATCTGCTTTAACTTTTCATCAGATCTACCATTTACACTTTAACAGGGCAGACAACTCTCCGTCAAATATGGTCGAAGGTTTTAAGGGGTTTGTGCGTCTCCAGTCTAAAGACTGCAAAATTAGCGGCATGAAAGGAAGGTTTCGAAGAACACTCTAATTTGTATGCCGAAAACGATGCGAGAATATACACGAACAATTAGAAGCGAACGGTGGACAACGCAGAAAGGGCATTAGGTTGCCTCGCCATGCTTTGGACCAGGACATCCTTCCTATAAGAATTCGAAAAGATTGTGAAAAAGGTTCAACTCTTGTTTCAAGACCATGAATGTTTCAGAAACACGACTCGACTAAAGTCGTGGCTTAAACCCAATCTATTTTAATGGAGATTTTCGACAATTAAAAGAAGGCATCAAGATTTTGGTTTTGGTATTTGGTCTTTTCAAAATTCCTACTCTCAGAACCAGGTAAATTCTCAGCTTTACGAAATATTCATACTTAGCCCTCACTTATTATACAGAAGCTCTACGGCTCACGTTGATCCCACTAAATGACTGATCGAGTCCCAGCATACGAAAAATCGCACAAAAAAACCTACGACAGAGTTCTTAATTTTAATGAAACAAGCTTAGAGGAGAAGGATAATGCATGGAGTGAGGCCTTTCTAGATTCTAAGCATAGAGGTAGAGACTGAGCCGGAGATCAAGACTCAAAGGAGCTACGAACTGACCGGAAGAACAATCTCCTGAAACGTATGTCCTGCGTCCCGATATTTGATTCGCACGTTACGGTGTAAGGTAGCCAGCATTTGTCCATGCCAAGGGGAAGCCATAGTGCTCGGCGTTCCGCGAAAAATGTCCAAAAAAAAGATTCACCGCATGAGTCACAGCAGTGAGAGACAGAGGGGCGAGCACTTGTTCTCAATCAATTTTCGGAAAATCGGCGTGTGCAGATCAACTGAGCCCAAGCGTCCCATATATGTACAACCTCGTCGTCACTTGCAACATGAACGACAATCCCCGCTACGACCGGGAGTCCTGCATTTATCACCGTGCGAAACGCCCAGGCGATCGTCTCGTGGAGTCTCGTGTGAATGTTCGGATTGTTCCACGAGCCGAATCGGAACTGGTCGAGCAAACTATCAGCACATGCTCGACCAGAGTCTCAAGGCAGATCCGCCCCTTTGGCAGTGCGAGTTCGCGCAATTGAGCATGACAAGTGCGTGATCCCCCCGCCACTCCGCTCTCTCTCCCTCTCTCCCTCTCTCCCACACACACAGCTGCTGCTGCTGCTGCTCGTCCTCCGCCCTCTGCTGCTGCTGCTGCTCCTGCTGCCTCAATTCCCGTCGTCGTTTTCTTCCTTCTTTTCAATCCCGGCCTCCGATTCACACTCCTCGCCATGTCGAGCACAAGGCTTCCTGTGGAGGTGAATATTCGCCTCCTCCTGCCCTCCGACAAGAAGCGCCCGGCCTCCTCCGTGGCCCGTCCGTCCCTTTTTTTCGGCCGAAAACAGCCGAACTCGCCGCGACGAAGGCCCTCGTTCCGCCCGCATCCGGCACGGGGACCCGCTGTACAAGCCTCCCCAGCCGAAAATTACCGCAAGATTACCGAAATTTTTGACAGCCTTGGCCCTCAAGACCTTTTTTTCGGCCGCATTTACCGCAACTGCCTTGATTTGGCAGCGAAAGTTCGCGGCAGGAACATGGATGAAGAATTGTCACGACCTTTCCACCTTTGGATTGATCCCGAAGCGTGGACTAGAGCTGGTGAGCCGTCGATTCGGAACTCTCGTTTCGCGATCTCTTGAGCATCGACCGGAGTTCATGTCCGGGAGCTGAAAAACGCGGAGGTCTTGAGAACTTCGTCGCCAAGGATATGAAAAAAAAGAATTATTAAAATAATTGCGGACAATAAAGTAAAATCAAGAAGGGCGAAGGTTTCGCCTGAATCCGGGAGATGATGGGCTGCATGGAGGCTGGAATTGACCGACGCTAAAGGTTTGGCTAAAGGTGCAGCAGACGTTCGGATGCTGCCCGGGCCGGAGCTCTCGACATGTGGACAAGGTCGAGGTTTGTCAGGACGGAGGGCAGGTCGGAATCTTGACTTCATCTCGAAGCAAAGTCCGGGGCTGACTGAGTGCCGATACTTGACTTCCAAGACCGACGCCATAACCTGGCCAGTACAGCACACTGCAGTGAAGGTAGAGTTGGAGGCACAACCTCAAAGGACATGCCTGGGGGCGAGGGCACGGGGGCATGTCTAATTTCTCTTTTCCATGTATATATAAACAAATTCATACATACAGACATGTACGTATTTTAATTTATACATATATTCTAGAGTTATAGAAGTATATTTTAGAGAAATAGACTGTGGGATAAGTGAGGATATAAAAATATTTTCACTTGTAGATTCTGCTCTGGGTTTTAAGCTTTTATTTTTGTGTTCATTGATCCTACTTAGTGCTTTATTTCCATAGACGTATATTTTCAAATACGGTAAAATGTACGTATTGAAATACGAGCATGCCTGGAGGCATGGGGCATGCCTTTTGATCTTGAAAGGGGGCATGGGCATGCCCTGAAAAATTTTGTTGTGCCTCCAATGCACTGTGCGGGACTTCTCATTGGCATCTCCCAGATTCCCCGAAAGATTCTTCTGCGTCATGCTCCTGGTTTTAATATGCAACGGTGTTGGGGTTTATGTTGGGTCATGAGATTTCTCTTTCTTCCAACAGAGATCTCGTCCCCTGATCGGGTCCATGCTTTGAAGCCTGCAACATCTGGGACGATCCTCAGGCTCATCTTCCTCATATGTCGTGGATGTCATCTTTCAAGACCTTTCAGCTTGGCTTCGCTGGCAGAAGATCGGATGCCAATCTGAGGAGCTCTACACGACGTATTTTATGGACTTTTATGACACTTTTTTTCTTGGATATGACAGAGAGATTCTTATATCGTTTCATGATAGTTAAAAAATTACTTCGTTTCTATAATTTCAACATTCACATGTTGAGTTTGTGTTAGCATGATAATCTCAAGTGTGGTTTTCCTTCTGTAGCGGAAAAGGATGTGAGAACATCCTTATCGCAGATGAGGGAGCTACGGTAGGACAAATTGAGAATTTCCGAGGAAATTTTTTTAACTACTCAAATTCACAATCAAGAAATTTGATTGTTTTCATACAATACCCTAAATGGATTACACTCTTCAAGCTTGGGGTTTTTCTTGTATGCTAGATTGGTTGGTGACAGTTTGGAAAATACTACTTCCAAACTGTTAAGAATTCAAGAATCTGATATTTTTTTAGATAAAAAGAATGTAGGCCAAGAAATAAATTATGTTTCTATAAGGCTAGTAATCTAACAATCCTTACGTCGAATAATTGAAAAGGAAGGGTGTTTCACGAGCATAAGGTGTTAGGTTTCAGGGCGATTAAGGGTGTCAACAGAATGAGAGCTTTCTTTTGTACATCCCTTCGACACGATTTTAACATGACCATATCAGAGCATCTCCGCCGTATTTATTTTATGTTACCTGGGAATTGCAAACGCTGGAGATCAGAAAAGAAGGACGCTTGGTGGCCTTGTGCTATAGATTCATCATTGAGGTGCTCCATATTGCCCGAATGATTTACAAATAAGACCTTTAAATATTTTGCAACGCATTAAATACACTTTCAACAGCCACGGATTTAGGTGGGGGATGATGAATGCTTATAATTGTATAGAAGGGCTTTCAAACCTTCCCAAAACCTGAATCAGATCCTTGTCGAGGAAATGAAAGGTCATTTGTTGCTTAAAAAAGCACAGCAAACAATCCCAAGAAGAAATCATGAAGAGGGTGGAACTAACCAAATAGCATCACAATGATGAATATAATTTTATACATGAAACAAGTGTAATATTTTAGAATTATCTACAAATAATGTATAGCAACAAACATCCTCTTACTTGATTGTAATAGAACGATTAACAATATTTAGTATCTATTATAAAAAAAATGGAATGTATCATCGAACATCTAACATATACGTATGAGTTTGGTTAACACATTTTTCACCAACATATTACAGTTGTATATTATAAATTTATTCAAAGTACAATGCGAGATTGATTACATGCATGGATTTCGTCTTATTCATTAGCAATTGACACTTCCTCTCATTTTAAATTTATTTTTTAAGAAAATTCATAAATATGAGATCTAAAAATAATATATATAATATTGAGATCATATTTACGTGGCGAACTTACTTTATCTCCTGGTTCACACTCCGGACTACACAACTATGTGATGTACTTAATATGAGATCATAAAAGAACAATTCAGTACGTGCTTAGATCATCTTATGTTGTGTGGAAATAATTATTTTTTTCCTCAAGATCAATATATAAATCTACGAGATATACTTATTGGAAATCTCTTTTGAAACAATTTTTATATCAACGACTATATATCGACTATATTATATGCATTTGAAAGTGTATGAAAGTAAGATTTGAGGTAAATTTATGAATAAAATTCCATGATATACGTTTATACAAATACGATAAATTGGATAAAAAAAAATTAAAGCAATATACATGCTTGCATTATGCTTTATCTCATTGCAGCAAGCTACAAGAAAATTCAAGAGTATTATATCTATTAATCAATTCAAAAAAATAAGTGACATCTCCTCCACGTTGGTACTTTCTGTCTGTCAGATGAAATAGTTTTCTACATGATATACAATGTTTACTTTAATATATATTAACTAACTCCAACACTGCCATGTCCCCTTGATAAACTTCGTTGTTGAGTGTAAGGACAAGCAACTAGGCTTGTTGGCTCAAAGCATTCGTGTTCAGTTCGCGGAATGTAAAATAAATTAATGCCAAAAAACACATAGAGATATAGTTACATGTATTGAAGAGTGGGGGATATGAGAGATTGAAGATTGAAGAGTGGGGGATATGAGATGTAAAATAACTGTATGTTATTTTACAGATGATTGTAATAAGAATACACGAAATGCTATGGTATTGTCCCATTGTAACTAAATAATTTCATCGTCATAGTTAAAGTATAGTAGTAAATTATTATCATTATACCTTGCATGTATATTTATTACATAGAACTATCTTGATACTGATTTTATCGATGATTTTGCTTGACTAGTGTAAGCAGAAAACGAGAAATGTTTCCATAGATTTTGATATCGATGTAGAAAATCATTTATCTATTATCCTATAATTGTACCAATCATATCCCTAAATTCTTATATACATCCATTTCTAGGCAATTCATTCAAACCTGTGGCAGCACAATCCAATACTACATGACTGTGCCCGTCGTGCGCCCGACGACGGGCCGGGCAGACAGCAGCCGGTAATCGGCCGGTCGTGTCCGGGATGCTTGACGGTGGGAGGGAGGGCACAATGCGCCGACGATAAATTCGGCAGCGACGCTGTCTGAGAGCTTCGAAGAAGATGGCGATCGGTCGCATCGTGAATGAGATGGCTCGAATCGCGTCCTCGGCTTTGAGACATCAGGAGCGACATGTAGAGCGGGTCATCGAGGTGCTGGTTCCCGGGCCTCTGGGAATCGTGGAGCACAAATTTTCTCACGGAGAGCTCCAATCTGCACGAGCAGAGGTCGCCAGAGCTGTCGAGAGATGGAAACTGGGTGCCAATCGGAGATCAAACTGAACATGAATCTCTCATCGCGCTTCGGGCTCGTGTCTTTGTCTCAAATTGGTTCTTAGATCCGCGCGTTGACAAGAGTTGGAAAATTAGGGCTGGCTTCCTCCCTCACATTCCCAAGTGGTAGGCAGCGACTCGCAATGTCCGATGTCCATGAGACCATCCTATGGCACCAACTCAAATTTACATAATAAGATCGTCCTCTTGTGGTATTGTGTCGCAGATGATCACAATTCGTTGTACTAAGCACCAGGATGTCACCTGGTTAGACTAGAAATTTTGTTCCCAAGGTAGTCGCTTGGATGTAAGAATTAATTGGAATAATGATGTCGGCGGCTGTGGACATTTTGTACAAGTAATCACACTAAGAGTCAGATGGAGATCATCGTGGGGTGGAAATTGGTTTTTCCTCCAAAACGAGCTGAATTTGGTAATGTTCAAGGGTGGAAATGGCGAGCTATTAAATGTTTAAGCTTCCTCTATTTATCTTGGGAGACAGGTTTCTGTTCGCGCAATGCCAAAGACTCCTTTTAGGCTTCGAAAGAGCTCAAGCGTCATGTCTCAGCGCAATATTGTTGGTACACTAGTTTTATTCGCAGTAAATTCAAACCATACGCATCTTCCCCTGATCTTAACTCATAGCACTAATCCCACATATGAAAATCGATCGATCATTTCGGGCGTTTTTAGATGTTTGTCAGCTCACATTTTATCTGAAGGGAAACCTCGAAGCTCAGAAATCGATCGATTGTCGGACAGAGCAGAGACAACAATTACTTCTGCCTGCAGGTCACGGCAGTAGGATCTATATAGTTTGTCTTCGTTCTGAGTACTGTACTTCTCTAGTGTGTCCGCGGGCACTGATATACACTTCAGCAACAACTCCACAGCGCCATAAGACCACAAGATATCGTTGTGGTCCTATGGCGCTGTGGGATCACGTAAGATGTTATGTGAGATATAGCCGGATAGATGTGATCCAAGACAGATGGATATCGTAATGTGGCGAGTCACAAGGGTCACATTGTGCTTTGCATCGGCACCTGCCATCTCACCTTTCTACTCCTCCGCTCAGTATAGTGTGACCTTCATAGTCTCCGGTGGGCATTACCGCATATTCCCATTTCTATGAAAATTGCGGGACGTAGTTAAGTGGGGATTAGTCAGGGTGATGGTTGGCTTAAAACATTGTGGGTTAGTTATCGTGATTGTGATGTATTTGGCAACTGTCATTTCCTCGTGAATTTTAGGCAACATAGATCGATCGGCTTCGGGCACTGAAGTGAAATAATGTCCTTGCATAATGACATAATGACATGACTCAGGTGTCGTCTCTCACTATTTTGGTTCACTTTGCTACCACTCTTTCACTTCAGATGATTTCTGTAGTTGAAATCCTCGCTGGTGCTAGCTGTACAGAAAGATTGCTATGTTAATACTGAGGTCTTTCGCTTTCACCTGCAATTTGATTCTAGTCTTGTCGATTTATGGAAACATTGAAATCTGCTTCTTTCGGTATGGCCGGACTGGACTGATCTGTCTGGATGAATCACATCGGAATTCAAGCTCCAGGCTTCTCTTTGAGCGGAGTGTGCAGCGTCAGGATGACCAATTGGCAATCCTCACTAGAAGTCTGGATCCATGAAACCGAGTGGGGGCGTGGAAACTATGCCCAATGCGCTTGGCACTTTGTTTTCATTGGACCTTACGACCTTCTTGACGGATACCATGTGTGCGTTGTGTAATCAAGGCAGTAACAGAGATTTCACAGCAAGAGTTGGGCGACCGCTCAGCCCCTTAGATGTTCTGTAAAAAGGTGTTTCAGTCAGCTTGCGCTCAGACTAAAAAGACTTTCATCAACGCGGTCTCCCGACTACGAGGAATAATCACTACATCATCTGCAATTGCGACGAAGAGTCTGAATAGAAGGGGAAGTAGTCAGGATTCGCGGATAGCATCTACGTCACAGTAACTACCATTAATAACAACATAGGATCAAGGATTGAATTGTTCCAACACAGTGTACCATGAATCGTACAAAAACCCGAGGTTGGCATAGCGAGTGCTGGGGTTGCTGTGGCTTCAAGGGAACGGGCCGACAAACTACAAAGGAAGTTTGTGACCAGATTAAAGAAGCACCTCTCTAATAACGTAAAGTGCTCTGTAAGGCTCGATGGAAAGATGATCAAACTCGTTCAGTCCCTGCATTATCACGGAATTCCTCACCAGGGCGTCAAATTCGACGTAAAAATTCGACATTTAACGGCCTATGCATAGGTCTACAATCACGTACTTAGGGTGAGAATCGCCTAAACTCATACCATAACTGCTAATCCAGCTCCCTACACTCCGTGTCTCTATTCCGCTTGTGACTCTCGACTCTGCAATGAAGGTTGCAGAACAGCTCCACAGATTTGTAGCTGACGAAAGGGCAAAGTCTGCGGGAAAGAAGGATCCGATGATTTTAGGGTTTCATAAGAGGGTCAGCTTGGGCTGGTCAGCTCGAATCGCGTCCTCGGCTATCAGACATCAGGAGCGCCATGTAGAGCGGGTCATCGAGGTTTTGGTTCCCGGGCCTCAGGAAATCGTGGAGCACCAATTCTCTCACGGAGAGCTCCAGTCTGCAATAGCAAAGATCGCCAGAGCTGTCCAGAGATGGAAACTAGGTGCCAGTCGCAGATCGAACTGAATCACGCATCTCTCATCGCACTTCGGGCTCGTGATTCCACCTCGAATTAGTTCTTGGATCCGCGGGTTCACAAGAGTTGGAAATTAGGGCTGGATTACTCCGTCACATTCGCAAGTGGTATGTAGCGATTCGCAATGTCCGTTGTCCATGAGACCATCCTCTGGCACCAACCTAAATTGACGTAATAAGATCGTCCTCCTGTGCTCTTGTGTCGCACATGATTACAAATCGTTGTCTAATCTAACCAGGTGACATCCCGGTTAGATTAGACATTTGGTTCTCAAAGTAGTCGCTACGACTTTAAGATTTAATTGTAATAAGTATGGACATTTGTTCAAGTAATTACACTAAGAGTCAGGCACAGCGCGGTTCTGCCAAGAAAGTGTGTGCCCAGAAGTGTTTCGAAAGAACTCAAGTGTCAGGTCTCAGCTCAATATTGTTGCCACAATGTAGTTTTATTCTCAGTAAATTCACAACATAGGCATCTATTCCTGATCTTAAATCATATAACTGATTCCACTTATGAAAAAAGACCATTCCGGGAGTTTTTACATGACTGTCCGCTCACATTTTTGTTAGAAGGTAACCTCTAAGCTCAGAAAGACAGAGCAGCGACAACGATTATGTCTGCCTCGAGGTCACGGTAGTAGGATCTATATAATTTGTGTTCATTCTGAGTACTTCTCTAGTGTGTCTGCGGGCATTGATGTGAACTTCGGTAACAAGCCGAATCGAGACAATGCCACGAGATCTCGTTGTGGTCTCAAGGCGCTGTGGGTTGACGTAATATGTCAGGTAAGACACGGCCGGATACAGCGAGTCACATTGTGCTTGGCATCAGTCCTTCTGTTCTCACGTTTCTACTCCTTGCTCGGTATAGTGTGTCCTTCAATGTCTCCGGTAAATGTCACTGCGCGTTTTCATTTCTGTATAAATCGCGGGACGTAGATAGGTCAGGATCGAGAGATGGTGATGGATGGTGTTAGAACGCTTGTCTAACCATCGTGATTGTGATGCGTTTGGGAACCGTCATTTTCTCGCGACTTTTACGCAAAACAGATCGGTTCGGCTGAGGACATTGATGTGAATGATTGTTGCTTGATGCACAAGAACATGACTCAGATATCTTCTCTAGCTGATTTGAATCACTAGTCCTCAGCTTGAGACGAAGTCTCTAGACGACATTCTCTCTATAACTGGCTGTGCAGAAATCCATGTTCTAACCGAGGTCCTTCTCTTTCATCTCCAATGCTTTTAGTTTTGTTGTTCACGGAGGTATCAATTTCTACTTCTCAAACCTGTCAAATGGCACAGATCCGTGGGGATAGATGGTATCGGGATCCACAGTCCAAGCTATCTTTTGAGGGAAATGAACAGCATTTGGACGATAATTTTATGATCCTTTGTACACTCTGGAACCATGAAATCATTGAAGCGTGAAAATTCTGCCTCGTGTGCTTCGCACGTCATTTTCAGTGGGCTTCCGACAGTCTTTGCGGATACCAAGTCTAGGTTGAGTATCATTGACACTAACAGAGAACTACTAGCAAGAGTTGGGCGACCGCTCAGCCCCTTAGATGTTCTGTAAAAAGGTGTTTCAGTCAGCTTGCGCTCAGACTAAAAAGACTTTCATCAACGCGGTCTCCCGACTACGAGGAATAATCACTACCTCCTCTGCAATTGAGACGAAGAGTCTGAATGGAAGGGGAGGTAGTCAGGATTCGCGGATAGCATCTACGTCACAGTAACTACCAACGCTAACAACACAGGATGAAGGATTGAATTGTTCCAACACAGTGTACCATGAATCGTACAAAAACCCGAGGTTGGCATAGCGAGTGCTGGGGTTGCTGTGGCTTCAAGGGAACGGGCCGACAAACTACAAAGGAAGTTTGTGACCAGATTAAAGAAGCACCTCTTCAGAACGTGAAATGCTGTGTAAGGCTCCACATAAAGGTGATCAGAATCACGCACCCCTTTCTTTAGGGTTCACTGACAAAATTCCTTACCGTCGCATGAAATTCGACTGGCGATACGGTCTAAAAGAGGTCTAAAAGCCTACGCATCGATCCGCCATCGCGCACTCAATATGAGAATCGTCTACTCTTTTCCTGTCACTGCAAATTTGACATCATAATCTACGGTTCTCTCTACCACCAGTGGCTCTCAGCTCTACAATGAAGGTGGGAAGACAGCTCCACACATTTGTAGCGGACGAAAGAGCAAAATGTGGGGGATCCGATGATTTTAGGGTTTCAGACGAGGGCCAAGGGAGCCGCAAGACGCAATTCGAAATGAGAGCCTTGAAGTGTTGAATCTCAGACGAGGAAGAAACACCAGAACTGCAGTTGTGACTGCGCTTCGAGCAACCTCTGTAACGTGGTTTCTAATTTGACATGACTCGCTGTACTGTATCCACGCCATAGTACAGTTAGTGTACTGCAGTTAGTCCGGCTATAGGGGAAGCAGATTAGAGTAGCGCAGTGACTGGCCCCCGGCGTTGCGTTGCCCGCCGATCTGCAATCGTCTACGTTTGTTCGGTCCAGTCTTATCCGGTACTTCGCGATACGAACCGATGGATTTATCGGATGAGTACTATTTCATCTGGGTTTCCGAGTAAGACCAATGGATTCGAGTACTCTAATTCCCAAAAACTGGTGGTCAGTGTACCAAAGAATGCACGAACTAGGCACTGCAGGCTAAAACAATCCCGACCGTATCTCGTTATTGTGCACTGTTAACAAGAGAGTTTTAACAGTTTTATCTCGTTATTATTGCACTCGTGCGATTCTTGATTCATATTTAAACACTGCCTGCAAAGCTTGTGATTTCACCATTTTTTCCACCGGATGGAATCTTCGCTCGAGTCGAACTTTGCGAATCTTTACAGTTACGCTGAAGCAACAAGACACAAGAACCTCCTCGTTTGAACTCTTCTGCTCGACGCCGAGCGGTCCAGAGTGTATGAGGTTGGCAACCTTGCCTCGGGCGTGAAAACCTCTCGGCTGCAAAATCCTCCCGACCCTCCCGATTATGCTGGGTGTCAAAAACATAGCTAACATCTGCGGCGGCGGCTGCGCGATTTCCGAGAATGCTGGCGAGCACACGGGAACCTCGAGGATCCATAACCTCTTCAAATTTTACACTCGTCTTCGTTGTTGTAAAACAAAATTGCAGTGCATAACATCAAGGATCATAGCAACCACTGTCACAGCGAATTGGTGATTTGCGGATCCAGACGCACATCTCCAGACTAATGAATACTCGATGAAGAGTGTTTACACTGACCCACAAAGCGTGAGTTTGGATGTTGCTGTTTGTAATCACGATCTTACTCAGATCGTGGAATGTAGAAAGCATCGAGCGTTTGACCTCCTAGACGCAAATATTTCAAACGGTAAGTTTTGTCTAGCAAACGCGGACATGACTGGCTCATCGGATTGCTGGACTATGCATCGACAGAGAAGGTTGATATGAGTGTGTGACCCCAACTGATGTACCAGGCTCTTCAGTATATATGATCTGAAAAAGACAGAGATGGTTTACCCTCCAGACCGCGAGTTACTGCTCTAAACTCTTTGAAGCACTAGATAAATACACTCATCAATGGATCCATTGCAACATGGCGAGTTCAACAGCACATATTCATACAAAAGTTTTTATAAACAATAATATAAAGGTGTACATGACATGACACAATCATTTGCATTGCAATATGAGAAAAGTCACTTTAAATTATAAAATCACGATAGTTTTCAATATTTATGTTTATATTATGAAAGAAATTGCTAGAGTAAAAGAAAATTTTTCCATGAAGTAGTTCAACACAATGAAATCTAATTATCAATCTTTTCACTATACCTCATCATTTAGATTAATCGTATTTGTGACAACAATCTACCTAGATATTTTGGCATGAGAAATCTAGTCGCAAGCAAAGATATATTTAAATCAGTCTTTGGTTTCTCACTCTTATGTTTTCAACGCAGTTGAGTGTTATCTAAACAATTACTCTCTGATTGTTTTTTTAAATTTTTTTACTCAAACTTCTACTATAATATCAAGAATAATGTTGTCATCATTAATAACAGCTCTGATATACCATTTGGCAGAGCTTGACTATAAATTGTAACATTTGGATAAGTATTTATTTCACCATTAACATCTTGAAGATGCAACTCCAAATTCTGAAAGTTTTCACAATTGATAACATATGAGTTGCAATAAATGTAAGAATAAACTCAAAGACAAAACTAATACATATATTTTATTACATTATAAACAATTTTATTCAATGCATGTTAAAATCATTTAGCAAATTTTTTTTTTGGGTGTATCAGACGAGATTTTTTCTCATATTGTTTTTCACAATTGAATTGTTTCTATTTGCGCCATAATAATTGTCAACAATCTCCAAAATTTAGTGTCAATTTCATGCTGATGAACATATTGACTGTTGTGACCGTGTACTTTCCTGATTCTAATTGACACTGGTCTTGAATTTTCAAGTTATGCAAAAGACTTGTTCATCATACCTAGTGTACTCAGCACTATGCTATCATTATTCAATGTCATTTTTTCTATTTGCATCCAATCTTCTTTTGATTTTTCAACACAAATGTCTTTCTCGTTAAACTTCAATTTTGACAGGAAATCTGGTTCATATTGATTCACATCTAAGTCACCACGGTCTTTTTCTGCTTCCAGTTCTTCACCATATTCTACTAACAGATGTGACTATTTCTTAACACCTGTAGATACTTATTAAATATCAAACATTCATACTGAAATCCAACCCATATTCCATTTTGTTGAATAGTGGATACTCGTTGGTGACCTTTGCACATTCAAGTTTTGCATTGATGTTTGCACATATTTACTTTCATAGCTAAGACACAATCACACAAAGTCAACATAGAATAATAATCTCAAACAATGTACTTAGTTTTTTATTTTGGACATTTTAACTTAGCAAAATTTGACTTTGAGGGATCTGAAAA